TAGATATTAATTTAAATACACATATAATCAAATTTCAATTTCAAATAGGTAATAATAAATTTTAAAACACATAATATATTTGCATACAAATACCCTAAAATTTCTCTATATGTTTAGATTGGATAGGGTGTTTAAAGTCTTGCTGCATCGGATCTAAATTATAAGATATTTTCTCTCAATTAAATTTAGTCCAAAATATATAATGCTTGGGATTTTTTAGAAATTATATTTTTCAATCATCCATTTTTTGTTATTAATGTGGCTTTCTTTTACAGCATCGGAAATGTCATACGTTTCTCACTCTTGATTATAGAGAAACATACAATCAAGAGTGTGAAATTAGCACTTTTTTCTCACTCTCACCTTTTATCTTCTATATATGTTTAAGTTGGATAGAGTGTTTAAATAGATAGATATTAACTTTTATTGATATGATCCTTATTGTTTAAAGAGAAGATAACACAATTAAAATATGTTGACATAAACTATAAAATATTAATGGCAACCATATAAATTGACAAAGTGTAATTGCTGATAAAAAAAAAGAAAGCATAATTATTTAGATAAAAAAATTCATAAATGTTAAAATATAAAATGACAAAATGTAGCTCTGTGGATTATATAAATAAAAATTAAATTAATTTAAGAATTAATTTATTCACATTTAACTGCATATATACATCAAATAATCAACATGCTTTACACACATTAAATTGATTATTTTGAGTTAATTTATATTTTAGATTGGACATGTGGCATTCTCTCGTAGCCTTTAACCCAACTTTTATATATATAATAATTTAAAAATAAAAAATTTATTTTGAAAATAATTGCTATATTTTTCTTATCAAAAATTCATTTGAATATATTTTATTTCAATATGATAGTTTTAACATCTCAATTTAAATTTTAATAGTTAATTTGAATTAATAGAAATTTTAAAAAATATTTAAAAGTAAGCAAATTAGTAAGGAGATTATTATTAGATTTAATTTAGTATAAATCTAAATTTTAAGTTATGATTTTTAAAAAAAATAAAATTATTATTATTATTATTATTATTAAAAGAGAAAAAGGATATGTAAAATAAAAAAAATAAAATAAAAAGGGGGATAGGGACGGTTTATTGTGAGTGTGTGTGTTTGATATGATAAAAAAAAAAGGAAAAAAGGAAAAAGAGACAAACCGTTTTTCCCACTCACTTTCTTTTGTTTCCTTCTCTACGCGTGTGTGTAAGTTTGACATTAGATAATAATAAAAAAAAGAAGAAAGAAGAAAGAGGTAATGGGAAGTGGGACTCACTCTTTATTTTAAAATCACCAGACTTCTCTTGTGTTTTTCATTTCTCTTCTCTTTTCTTCATTCTTTCTTGCGTAACACAGAGAATGAAAAAAGAGACGACGAGCGTGACACCTGCGACAGAGCTGATTTAGAAGGTGAAGCTCCATATTAGGATATTTCAGATGAGATTTTAAGTATTCTAAGACTAGGTAAGTGTTCTAAATATTTTTTTAGTCATTTTTCCCTTTGAGCTGTAGATTCTAAAATTTTAGAAAACCTAAGGTTTGAAAGAGGAATGAATTTTTGGTGAGAAAATCTAATTGTTGAGATTGTTGGTAGTGTAATAAATATTCTAGAGTATTATTTTGTTGATAGAATTAAAATTTGAGGCATTTGAGTTTATCCCTGGATCCCTATGGGTAGATTTTTGGTTAAATTTAAAAATATAAATTGATTTATTGATATTTAGATGATTATTTGAGATGAAAAATAAATTATTATAGCTATAGAATAATGATTCTAGGCTTGAAATCAAGTTCGTAATTTTTGGGTATTTTTATATGCGAATTTTTGAAATAAAAAGGGAAATCTTGATATTAGAAAATTATTTGAATGAAATTATTGTAAAGGAGACTATTGAATCTAGTAGATAGGTTCAAATACATAAAATTAAATTTTAAAACTTAAGAGGCTAAGACTAAGGTCTTAAAAAAATGAAATAAAATAAAATAAATACTTAAGTGTTATAATATGAGTGAAAATTGTGTTAATAATATTATTGACACCTTGGGGTATGATTAATTGTAGATTAATTTCCTTCTGACACCATTCAAGCTTTGGAAGTATTGTAACTTGAGGGGTAACCTTTGACCTCTCAAAGGTTGAGATAATCGAGGAAAATCTATTTTATGCATTTGTATGTTAATTAATTAATTATGTTAGTAAAATAAAAGAATATATATATATATATATATATATAAATTTGAAATAGTTGTTTGTAATGCATGTGACTTTGTTGAGATTCTATGACTTATGACCAAGTTAATTATGACTTGGTGTGAGTAATGAGATTGATGGTTGATGATTATGTGTATACTCTTGGATATAAGTCATGGATTATGCACAGTGATGAATGGTATGAGCATGTTGAGTTTTGCATGATGCTAATGTGGTTTTGTATGATAATTTAAAAAAAATTAATGCAAAAGGCATGATTGAAATATGATGATTCTTAATGTTTGTTGAGCAAGAAAGTTGATGAGCATGTGGGATAATTTTAAATTATATATATGAGTTTTTGAAATGTATTTTCTCATAAGTATGATCATATGGCGGGAGTTCGCCTTAGTGAAAGAGTTAGCGGTTATACAAAATTCATATAGTACTTGGCTATTAACCAATAATCCTAGGGGTTATAGCCGCTACTTACCTTGTAAGGTACTATAGCATTGTTCATATTAAGGGACTTGACCTTACTGGCCTACTTGGAGTTTTGGGTAGAGCTAGTTTTGAATACGACACCCTATAGTGTGTGATTTGGGAGAAACCGTGTTCATCGATGAGTAAGGTAACCCTGGCCCGGCAGTCCCTCATGATATGATTAAGGCCTTGGGTAGTCTCACCACATGGACGATCCCTTTCGGTTGTTGGCCCATGAATTTCATGTCAGAGGAAATAAGGGAGGATATAAGGAAAAGATCGATTATGCATATTATTATTATCATGCCATTTGAGTGATTGATGGCTATGTTGAGAATATGATTATAATTGTGAAAATGAAAATATGTAGTAATTATGTGAATAATGTATATGTGGCTATTTGTTCAAATTTTATACTTGACTTTATTCTTAAAATTATTCACATGAGTTAAATGTTAATGTGATTAACATGTTATTAATGTGATTGTTTGAATGGTCACCTTGATAAATTTATTGGCCACTTGCATTCATGATTAATTATCACGCATTTGTATAACTTAGATATACTTTGGTTATTAAGTGATTGTACTCACTCCTCTCTTTTAACATATTACAGGAGCTAGCTCATCTCAGAAGAACAAAGGAAAGGAGTATTAGGCCGAGTGATAATAATCACTTCTGTAGGCCTCTCTCCTTTTATTTGATATGTGTATTTAGTTTATAATATTGCCAACTAAGATAATATATTCTTGATCTACTTGTACTATGGGTTTTGCGTAGGATGGAAAGGTATTTTGGGCTCTTGAGAATGTGTTTTGATGCTTGTGTTATATTAATAGGCCAAAATATTTGTGCAAGTAAAAAATAATTATTATCATGCTTCCGTATAGGTTTAATTGAATGATATGAGTTTTTAAAATATTTTAAAGACTTGGGATCCCTTTATATTAAATAGTTTAAAAAAATACATATTAAGAATTCATTTGGGTTAATCTCGTATTGGATAATCCATTTGGCTTAGTCCTTGATTAACCATGGTTAGTATGATGATTAAGTCCTAATTTAGGACGTCCTTTACAATAGTTGATTTAAAAAAATCTAGTAAAAAAGAAAATCTTGATGAAACCAATGAAAATAAGAGCAAGAGAAAATTTTAGATAAAAGAAGTGAGGAAAAAAAAAATCTTCTCATTCACTTTGATTCATCAGCATGGGTGCAAGATTTTGAGGAGGGCTTTTATCGTTAAGTTTTAAATCATTAAATACATTTTTTTTTGAATGAAAAGGCAAGCCTGAGGCTTGGAGAAAAGTACAACAAACTAAATAATGTTTAAGCTGTCTTCACACAATATTGCATGCAAAACAGGAGGTATTATATGAAGGAATTTAACTTTTGTATCAATTTGATGACTATTTAATGCCAAATAATCAGCACATTGCAGACTTCTCGATAAACATGATGGATCTCCACCTTTTTGTTGCTATAAATGAGTTCTCGTACATCATTGACATCAATCCTTCAAGAATGATCCACAACATAATTTTATAGTATCATGTTAATGGCATTCAACATGTCAGAGTATAGAATAATTTTGCTACATTCAAGTTGGAAGGCAACCTCAAGTCTAGTTTTGATGGTCATCATTTCGACAAGCACGATTGGAACATCTCTCAATGGACGTGTAAATCCTCATGAGGTGGATTTTCTAATACGTGATAAATTACACTATATTTCTCTACTAACATTATAGGAGTAATGTAGATTTTTCAAAATCAAAGAATCATTGACATATTTGATATATATGAACAATCTTGTATTTAATAACCTAGATTCATGAACGGTGAGAAATAAAATGAAGTAATTCATGAAAATTATGATCTATTTATTTGAATTATAAAAAATATAACGTCTATAAAAATATGATAATATTTATAACAAAATAGTAATTTTTTTGAAAGAGGAATAATATTAATATTACTTTATACAACTCCTACTCTATTCAATAATTATAAATTAAATTTTTTTAATTAAAATCATTTAAATATAAATATTTTTATCAGATCATCTAACGATTTTAATTTTTATCAACAAATCTCTTTTAAAATGGGCTCAACACAACAGGCCACTCTGTTAGCCCGTAAAGTTTTACAAAATGGGCTATCAAAATTAGCCCATTTTACATACAAGCTGGGTTCTTTTTTTTTTTAAAAAAAAATGCTGTTGCATCACTTGCCTGCCCACTTTCCCTCCCTTTAATTGCCGCGACCCTAACTAATTCATAATCGCTTCATTTGGTGCCCTGCCCTAAGTTGAATCTCCATGACGGCGCAGCTCTTGTCCTCCTCCAGCCCACCAGTCCAGTCTTGCGATATCCCCCACCTTCGACTCTCTTCGAGTTTACCTTGTCTTCTCAAGCTCATCGCCACCACGTGAGTTCACGGTGAAGCTTCCACTTACAGTCATAGAGCTCCAATCTGCGCGGCTCGACTGAGAGCTTGAGACACTGAACTGAGGCTTCTATTCGTCGCTGTCGAGTGTGACCACGCCTCCACGGTGTCGCCAAGGAAAGTTTCTTCCCCTTGCCCGAACCGTTATAATTTTACGATAAGTTAGTAATGAAAACGAAGCCATTAAGCTTTCGACCCAAATTGTAGTGGATCCTCTCGTATGTGAAATCTGAAACTATGAGCCCATTTTGGTTTTGTTAGAAATTCCCTCGATACGTGGTTGTCCTTGCTGACCACTGTTGTTTGAAGGCACAGTGGCGGTTGTGAGGCCAGGCTGCTCTTCCGCATCAGGTATGTTTAACAAATCCCGCAACATTTTCGTTCACAATCTAGATGCTCTTTTTGCTGATCGCAAGTTCAATCTTCGCGTGAAAAAATCTATAAGTAGCCTCAAAGTAGTATGGAGGAAAGACCCTGAACTGGACCTAGCGATAGAGAAGGACAAGCGATATAAGCTCTGCGCTCGTGTTGTTAAGGAGGTTCTTAATGAACCAGGTCAAGTAATCCCATTGCGATATCTTGAGAAACGACGTGAGAGGATGCGTCTTAATGTTAAAATTACAACCTTTTTAAACCAAAACCCTGGCCTGTTTGATGTCTACTATGATCGTATCAAACCAAAATCGGATCGCGTTCCCTTTCTAAGGGTTAGCGATCGGCTTAGAAATTTTCTGTATGAAGAAAAAAGGGTTTATAGAGAAAACGAGCCCTTGGTCGTGTCGAAGTTGTGTAAATTGTTAATGATGTCGAAGAACAAGGTGATTAGTGCAGATAAATTGCTTCACGTGAAGAGGGAATTTGGGTTCCCGAATGATTTTTTAGTTAATTTGATTCCTCAGTATCCGCAGTATTTTAGGCTAATTGGGTGTCCTGGGGAGGAAAAATCATTTATTGAATTGGTTTCATGGAACCCCGAATTTGCAAAATCTGTTATTGAGCAAAGGGCTGAAGAGGAGACGAAATTGACGGGGATTAGGGTTCGGCCAAATTTCAATGTGAAGCTTCCTCCAGGTTTTTTCTTAAGGAAAGAGATGAGAGAGTGGACTAGAGATTGGATGGAGCTTGATTACATATCGCCATATGAGGACGTGTCCCATTTGGATCAAGCATCACGAGAAATGGAGAAGAGGACGGTTGGGGTATTCCACGAGTTGCTTTCTCTTTCATTGTATAAAAGGATTCCAGTGCCAATACTGGGAAAGTTTTGTGACGAATATAGGTTTTCAAATGCATTTTCGAGTGCATTTACAAGGCACTCGGGGATTTTCTATGTTTCCTTAAAAGGAGGGATTAAAACAACAATGTTGAGAGAAGCTTACAAAAATGGTGAGTTGATTGATCGAGATCCACTGCTTGAGATCAAAGCTAAATTTGCTGAGTTGTTGCAAGACGGTTGGCAGCAAAGAGCAGAGGACTTGCGTTTGCGAGGAGAACAAATTAAGAAAGACATGAAAATTTTAGCTGCGAAAGCGAGTGAATGAATTAAGAATGACATGGAAATTTCAGCTGTGAAAGATAGTGAATATAAAAAGGGCGTTATTGAAGTATGAAAGGCTTATAGCGGCAGATGGCCTTGGTAACCGTAATAAGAACGGCAGGTAAATTGAGATTAAGCCTTATATATTATTATATATGTCGAGATTGTAGTTAATACCCTGTTATAAATGTTTTTTTTTTAATAAAGAAAGCTGTAAGTTTGCTGTAGAGTAATTTTATTTAGTGATTCACATTTTTCTTGGTCTATGTTGTTGAGGTCAATTTCATCATGTTTGTAGAGCAATAAAACTTTGAAAGATTGCGGTTTGAATCATATGCACTTTCACTCGCAGTGTTGCTGACTTGATTTGGAAACGACAAATTGAATTTCCAATTTGAGAACTTGAGTCGAAGTCTAACTTCATCTTGGTAAGATGGGCTTAATTCATGAACTTGTCCACGCTGCTTTATTAACCTACTCCTCTGGTCAAATCTTCCAACGTGTTTCAGAAATAAGTAAAATCTAAAAATTTAAAAACTTTTTTATTTTGTCACTATCAAATATACGTATTTTAATATGATATTTTCTCTTTTTAACATCTAATAAAAAAGTAAAGAGTAATTTATGAGATATTATTTTAAATAGGTAAAAAAAAAAAAAATCTTCTCTTCCTGTTCTATAAACAGGAGAGGAGGGAGCATACAACGAATCCCCTTTTTCTGCTTTCACATTTGAGCATTTTCAATCATTGTTGAATGGCGTGCTATAAGAAGTCAATGACATGGTATGCTAGTGATGTGGTAGGATTAAAGCGCAATGAAACTCTTTGGGAGACGTGTAAGAAGTATTGTCTATGCTAATGATGAATATCTGGTGTCTGAATACTCTCTGATGCGCTGAAGTCTGATTACTCCGAGTCTGAGTGGAAAACTTTTCTGCTACCGCGCCTCGGCCTCAGAGCAGCGATGCAGCAATTGTTTACCTGGCAATGAACTAAAGTTCGATGGGAGGTCATGCAAGTTTCATGAAGAGGGTTGTCGCAGCCAAATGATTCAATGGAAAACAATTTCCTACTAAATCATGTCCTCATGGGATCTTCTGTTTATTTGCGGTTTATATCTCAACCATCCTTTCCCTCACACTCTTCCCTGATGTTGGAGTTGTTCTTTAAATTTTAAAATGAGTCTGGAAGCAGGTTGGTGGTGCGATACTGATTAAGGTAACTTTGCATGCCACCTACAAAGTCGTCACACACAATGGATGAAGAATATAAACGAGTAAGCCATAACCATTCTCTTGGCAATAAACAACCCGATGGGATCGAGAAGCATAACGGTATGCAAGTATTTAAGCAGGATTACGGGGTCGTAGGGGCATTGAAAATTTTTTCCAGTTTCTGAAACATTAGCCCAAGAGAGAGAGAAAATCAAGCATGGAGAAAGTGGTGGCTTTTAGGTTAATAACAATGACTGTGACATTTCTGGCATTAGTGCCGATGCGGGAGAGCCACGTTGTGACATCGCCTGAACCTCGCCCACTCTGTGCAACCCAGTTTTCCCTAGTAAACTATGCTTGCTCATCACTGCTATTCGTGCGAAGGCCCCCAAGTTTACCTGCACACCCCGATGACCAAGAACATGGCCATGCCCATCACCACGGGCACCATCACCGGCACCTGCAGCCCAGTCCTCAAGAAGAAAACTGCTGCCGGTGGGCTAAGAATGTAGACGGTCAATGTGTGTGTGAACTTCTGCTTCACTTTCGCTTGCCCACTTTTCTTACGAGGCCATCGCATCAGTACTCGCTCACCATTGGAGAATCCTGCGAGGTCACTTACTCGTGCGGTGGCCCCATTTGATTCGCGAGTTTGAACCGTACGACTAGCCGGAAAATGATTTAACGCGGTAGCGTTCCGTTTTAGGTGTTTTGAAGCTTTGCTCATCTGTCGTCTTTAGTCTTTTTTGCCTTTTGTTGTTATTCACATTTGGCTGGTGTGTACTTCCTTTCTCACTGCCATCTAAAATTGGGAATGAGTCCCAAGTGTGTTGGGAAAGTGTGGTGCTTTGAGCGACAATAATATACCACGTGAACAATTACAAAAACTGTTTAACGTCAAAATCTCCAATGAATTACTGTAAAAATGACGACCCTTGAGAAGGTCCAAGAGCAAAGAATCGAAATTAAGCACAAGCACGCGACTCACTGGAAGATTCGTATTTGATAAGAAGCTTGCGTCACTAGGTAGGGGCAGTTGGCGCAGAGACGAAGCTTAAAAGACGGTGATTCCAGTATCTATAGGTTTTTCGACTTGAGCGTTCACTTTGATCCTCTGCAAGTGGTTATTAATTTCCTCTTTCACACTCTTTCCACATTCCCCTCGTAATTAAGTATATATCAGTGGTGCTACCTTCATCAAGCTTCAATGAATCCGCTAATGCAACAATTAGCTTTTGAGTTAAATGAAACTTCGTTTCGGTAGCCGTTAAAATGCACGAAGTTGATGGAGGATATGTGAGGTCGTGTGGTTGATGAAGATGGTGTTTGGAGGTAGCGGGACTACTGCTTTGACCAAAAGCTGAGGTAACTCAACTTGCAGCAATGGGGGAAGGCTTGTGGGAATCCAAATCAAAAGAAAGATAAATTAATAAATGTCATTATCGGGGAGGAACAAGACAAAAAGTTAAGGCTTTTTATGCGTTGTTTGGAAAAAAAAAAGGATTATATACTCTGCTTGGACCATTTTTCAATTGAAAAAGAAATCACATCTCACTGTTGGTCAAAGAAAAAAATACGATGCCTACAGCAAAACGACAAATTACTCAATTATATCCTTCTCAAGAGCCGCTTTCCATCCAACATTGTTCAGTAATTCCAAACCAAAATTCCATATTTAAAAACTCCAGCTGCTTAGAGTCATGACTAAAGGGGTGAATTTCACTACATCTCAAAAATCTCATTAGAGGTATGCAATTTTTTGATATTTCCAAGCTAATACAAATATTTTTTATTTTATTAAAAATATATAGATCACTCTTCTATTCTCAAAATACATCCCAACCTCATTTCAAGCAAATAACAAATTAAATATACATCCCTAATTTTTTAAAATATATACATATTTCTTTGGCAAGTAGAATATTTGAAAACCCAAAAAAAAATTAACATGTTAACATGTTGGAAAAGGCACACTTGAAAATGGCACAATTGAATCTATTAGTATTAATTTTTCTAAAAAAAAATATAATCAGATTTTACATAAAAAAATTAATTATTACGAAATATATTGACAACTAAAAAGACATCTAATTTAATTATTAATAAATTTTATAATGATAATTAATCATTATAAAATGTATTGACAATTAATAGAACATTTAATTTAATTGTTAATAAATTTTATAATAAATTTTTAACGTGAAACTTTAATATACTTTTTTTTAACATTAAAAAATGGGTGAAAAGAGAAGATTAGAAAATGAAGGAGGAGGGAATGTGGTCCCAAGGGCGCTTATCCAGGATTGGGAAATAGGACTGGGACGGGACCCGATCGGCGCATCCCATTCTGGTTCGTGTACGGAAAGCGGCGTGACTCTCTCTCTCTCTCTCTCTCTCTCTCTCTCTCTGCGCTTCTAACTTTTGAGTTTAATCCCCTCGCATCCTTTCCACCTCTCGCTGTACGGCTTTCTTAAAAACACGTGATAGGAAATGACGCCGTTTTGCTCCTCGCATCTTATCAACCCTCCCTCCCTTCATGTTCTCCTCCCTTTCCCAAGTCCTAATACACCCACACGGCCACACCTGACACCCTCCTTCCTTCCTTCCTAATCGGCTAATCCAATCTCTCCTTATTAATATCACCACATATTGGTTATTATAATAACTCACCTTTTTTTTTTTTATATGAATAATACAATTTAGAGCAACACGGTCAAGCTTCTCATGGAGCGTGATTTTTAAATTTTTAATTTTTTTTTTATTGATCAGACAGGGCACCGACCCAGAGACTGAAGTTGAGCCGACGAAGCAATGGCGCTCTCCCAGGACGCCAACCTCAGCCCCCCAGCCACCCCACTCTTCGTCATTGTCGAGTTGCGAAGAAACTGGGCGACGATCTTCGCACTTGGCTCCGCCACCACCTTCCTCCACTCGTCATTCTCCTCTCCTTCCCCGCGCTTCCGGAACACCGACGTCGCATCTACGCGATGTATCTTCCATCTCTTCACGCTCCACAGCCTCTGGATCTTCCCCAGCTGTTTTCTCGCCAATTTCCACGTGTTCTTCTTCATTTCCCTCATCGCTTCTTCCAGCAGCCTCCGCCTCGTCTCCTCGTCCCCGCTTGCTTCCCTTCGAAAATATTTATCGAATTCTGGAACTCCGATTGCCTTCCTGATCCCTCGTGAATAGTCCCCTTTTGGATTATAAAACGGCCTCAATTCATTCACCATTCCTTTCTCCAGCATCTGATCCACCCGTTGTGCCACGTACGAATAAAGATCTGGTAAGCCCGCGTCTACCCAGACGCAGCAGAAATCGTACCTTGATCGGAATTTATAGTCGTCGTCGTCGATTAAAGCCTCCAGGAACGAATTTGAGCCTCCGACGATGATCGGAAGCTTTCCACGATCCCTGATTGTCTCAATGGCGAGCGAGGCCATGTCACAGAAATTGTTCGCCGTGAATTCCGAGTTGGGATTCTCTGTTCCTAGTAAATGGTGAGGAACACCGCGTTGTTCTTCCTCGGCGATCTTGTTTGTCACTATGTCGAGTCCTTCGTACACTTGCATTTTATCGGAGTTGATGATCTCCGCCGGAAAATGGGTGGCGAGGTCGATGGAGAGCCGGGACTTGCCGGCGCCGGTGGTTCCCATCACGAGCAAAACCTTCTCCTTCTGCCGTGGAAGAGAGGTAACGTTTATTTTTGGGCTAACAGAAGAAATATTTATTAGTGGTTGTGTTAGTCTGCACGTTACCATAGTGATGGTCATGGCGAATAAGGAAGAAATTTTGTTATTGCTCACACTAAAGTTGGCACCTCTCTCACTCTCTCAGCGGGACTGAGAAAGAAATCTAGACAAAGGAGAACAGATGATTAACAGAAGAAACCAAGAGAAGTAAGACTGATCAATGAGGAAAAAGTCCCATTATTTCTTAATTTAGATTGCTGACACAAGAACTGGTCAAGGTTGATTTGTGAGAAGAGAATGAGTGTGGTATTTATAGCGTGCAACCTTGCGTCAATAGGGTCACTCTCTGCCCCTGTTAGTGGACTTGCATTTCTCGTTAAAGCAAGAATTATTAAATGGTCAACTAGGAAAAGTGGCGTTGCCCAATATTCTGCCCAATAACTCTCTGTCCCAAAGTGTTTTAGGCTTTTAGATTTATGCCATATGAATGGCCATAGCTTCAATTGAGCCATTGCTGAAAGAGGAACTGCGACGCCGTGTTGTCCGTCTAGGTAATTAGACTCAGTGGGCATAGGGAGGTTCTTTTCAATTTTCATAGTGGGCTCATTTTGTGGAAAGAACAGCAAATTGCATTAGAATATGGCTATTGATAAGGTCTTTCTAATTATTCCATTTTGTTTGTAGGTTACGGTTTTTGTCTTGTATATCCTTTCTTTGCTAGCTATCTAATAATATCTAGCAACTACAACCACGCACTTTCCCACGAAATTCCATCTCACAAGATAGGCTTAAATATATTTGATGCAACTCTTACTCTGTACAAATATAAAATATTTGAATCCACATTGAGATTTCAAAGTTCTCAAAACCCATTAGAAAAATTCGAGGTGGGAGTCAAGAGAAGAGAAGATTAATGCCTTTTTTTTTTGGTGTGTTTGGAGTATAATTAACATACAACACACAAAATTTGTTCCTGATTAGTGAATGATTTTTTCTTGATTGTCAGTTCTCTTATGAAATGAATGTTGAATGGTTGGTTTGAAAGAGCTTGCTTAGCTTTTTTTCCCCCTTGCAGAATGTTCTCCGTGTGCATCGCGTGGGAGAGTCCATGCTAGTTAACATGCAACACGAAAACAGGCACTTCAACATATATTTGCGGTGAGTGGCGGAGGAGAATGTGACAAAAGGGAAATAAAGAAAGGTGACGTAAGCAATCGAAGGCATTTGTTCTGGGGACGAGAACAGTGAGCCGTAAGGAGTAGTACTGAGTATGAGAGTAAGTTGTGAAATCGACATTGATGGAAAGAGGCTCCGTGCATGGAAGATGGATGGAGGTTGACCGTGTCGCAATTTGTGTGACTTGGAGTTGAGATTCTTGCAACATGTTTTAATTTGTCAAAATAGACTTTACTCTTCTCACCTTGCTAAGTTGGTCCCAAATTCCATATTTATGCAGCGATTTTGATGCCAGACGTTCCAGATGGTTCTTCCTTAGTTGTACAAGTCATCGACTTGAACTTGACGTTATATTCCATACACAACATATATACATTAACATTGTCGTTTTCCGCAGATATTGAGATTCACACACCCACACACACGTGTTTTGATACTGATTTATCATCGGGTTTAAGTTTAACTACTTTTGGTTGAATTAGCATATTGGTAGAATGTTAGCGCAAATATTGTAGCTAGCTAGCTAGGTCGATTGAAATTCCCCCTTAAATGAGGCTGTGGATTGAATTGTCACTGAGGGAAAAAAAAAAAACTACATCAAAAGGAAAAAAACAAATTTTAGTTATGCCTCGCGAGCCTCAAGAACAAATCAGTCAGTCACAGAAATAGTTACTGAAGAAAAATACAAACAAGTCAAATCAAAGGGAATATATTTGATTTAACTCGAACAGGAAAAATATATACCATAATTGAACTGATCTGAAAGAAGAGAAAAGATTCGATGCCTGTAAATAACGCGGTGGAATTTTTCAGGGGCGTAATAAGTTAGAGCGACGTTGTGATGAGAGAAGGCACAGTTCCGTGTGTGTAATTCGTGGCATGTATTGCGTTTATTGGATTCATTAATTGAAGCCTGTCCCCACAGAACAGAATAGCACAAATTCCTCCCTCAAATTGCCAGTTAATTATTCAAATTCAAATTGAATTGAATACAAGTTGTTGGGGTTATACATTAATTATAAATGAAGGCTTGTCATTAATACAACAATAACTTACTTTCTTGATACCTTGAACATGACTACTTTTTCCTTCCTCTCTCTTCTTTTGTGTTTTTAATATCAATTTTTTTTAGTTCTAAATTGGCCCTCTCTTGATATCATATTATAGTATTATATTAATCACAAGCTAAAGTTTGTCACTTATATTAAAATAACTTAAGTTGCATTGAGAAGACTCGTCACATATTGATACAGTTGTGATTAATTCTCTAATCATCCAGTGCAAGATTATCATACGTCTTATATATACAAGTATCGTGCATGGATTTGTGCTGTGCCTACCCCCAATACTTTGACTCCATGATCAAAGTAGATACCATGTTTCACTTCACCATTGATAAATTGCCCCGAATACGTTAAAAGGATTCATTTGGATAATATTAGTTATGCCTGAGCATTCATTAACTTCTAATCACCCGTGTTGTCCCAGAGAATATCATCAGAACTACATATAATAATATCTTAATTTTATCTAAGAGATCAAGCAAGCATAATTTCCAAGCATTTCATTCGGCGACAGAGTTAATGGGCACGTTTATTTATTGACTATCAAGGCACATCTATCGCGAATTTATATTTAACCAAAGATTAGGTATCCTCTCATTATTAATTAACTAACTTTCCAGTCTCGCATCTCCTGTAATATTTCTCTAACGTTAGGACTTACACTTAAGATTATATTCGTATTCACTTTTTTTCCTAATTATTTTATTATCAGGTATCTTTACATAATGATTTAGTCTAATATATATATATATATAAAGATTCCACGTCTTCGAGCATTGTCTTCAATTCAAGTTTTGTGAATCAATAAACCATATTGGGAGATCTTTAACTCATCATGTATGCGGTCCAACTCAACTTGTATTGGTTAGGAGTATCAAATTGAATGGTTCTAAAATCTACAGTTAAGACTCATGAAAAAATTAATTTTTTCTTATAATTATTCTTAAGACTTTATAATTAATTAAGTACATATATATCTCACTTGTTTCTTTTAGAAAAATACGCGCTTATAACAGTAATAAAGGTTCAAATAATCCTTCTAGCTAGTGTGTGTAAAGATGAGGAATATGCGTGCATGCACTGTGAGGAATTGAAAAGATCAAATACAAGATATTTAATTGTTTCATTTCTCATTAAATTTTATATGGAATTATATAGATAAATTTGACATCATATCTTAATTTTAAAAAATAAAATACCAGGTGCATGATTTTTTCTCAAAATATATCTACTCCCTTTATTAAAAAATATAAAACATTTTTTAAGAATTTAAATATTAAAAAATGTAAGGAATTTTTAATTTTTTGAGATGTAATTATTATTTTTTTCAAAAGTGTCCCTATTAATAATAAATTTATATTTATTGTAGGGTATTTAATAAAAGTAAATATGAAAAGATAAGATTAATTAAAAAGTAAATAATTATTTTATTAAGAGATTAAATTTAATTAAAAATATCTTATATTTTTCTAGCGGAGAGAGTAAAGCGTAACCTCTTTCTTTATAGTTTATTTTATAGCATAAAAAATGTTTAAGTGATGAGTTATGTTTAGGAGATTTATTAAAATTAAAATACATCTTTAAATTCAAATAAAAATTATAAAAATATTTATAAATTGTTCATAAAAATATTGTTATATTAACAAGAAGATTTAAATTTATAAATTTATATATTATTAACCAAATTTTTATAAACCCGAACTAACTTTTACTTAGGGCTGTGCAAAAGTCTTCCAATCCTGTCTGGTCCAGTCCAACCCGAGATGGTCTCAGTCTTATTCGGTCCGTATAGACACTGATCCTTCAAGACCAAAAAGACTAAAAAGATCAAATTATTTCTTCGGGTTGGACTGGACAAGAGACTGGGCATTCGGACCACTTGGTCCAGTCCAGTCCTATTAAATTTTTTATTACAATTATAATTAATTTATTTTTGACAAATGTTTAAAGTGTAATTGATGCCAAGGAGATGATTATATAAAGATTTGTTGAGTTTATTTTTAAATTATTATTACAATATAGTGTTGTTGAATTTTATTGAGTGCTGTTTTTGTTAAAGTTATAAATTTAAATCATTTGAACTATAACAAGAATATTTTTTTATTATTAGAAATTATTATGAATTTATTATTATAAGTGTTTTTACTATCTTAATTAAGTTTATTATGTTGAAATGAATTATTGTCTCTCATAGAATAAAAAAAAAAGTTAAGTGAGTACTAGACTGACAAGACCAGTCTCCCAGTCCTATGGATCAAGTTCGGTTTTATTAATCTTCGAGTTATTACTGAACAAGACTAGATTATGGATTATCTAATCCAATTTTTTTTATGAAAGAGACTGAACTTCGAGTTAGAGTAAAATTTAATACCCTCTTATTTTTTGTACAGACTTACTTTTACTGATAATATCTTGACCTTTTATGCCGCCACAAAATGGATGACCCTTTTCAAAGAGCGGAAGGGGGATCACAAGAAATTTTAAAGAATGATGGGATTGGATTGGGGTGTGAGGGAAGTATAAATATTAAACTTGTATTGAGAAATAATCAGGTATCCATGCACTGTCACATCAGGTAGATTATTGTCAGCTTTTATATATATATATATATACATAACTCTCTCTGTTTTTCTTTTTTATTTAAATGGTACTATGTGCACGAGCCATAAATCACTGGACACCACAGCATATATCCCCGCCATCGATTAAATTCCAATGATTGAAAAAGCTAAATCGAATCCACCTGCATACCATCGATCGGTTTGAATTTCGACGAAAAAATTATTTGAAGGTTGGGCCACTTTGGACTAATAATCAAGTCAAGAATCAAGGTTAAATTAAAAATTAAACTAAATTTTTAAAAATTAAACTACTAAAAAAATACTATTTTTTTCATTTTTATCAATTTTTTAACAAAAAAATTAATTTTTTAATTATTTAATATTATGTTACATCATGTGACTTATTAAATTATGATAAACTTAAAATATTTTATTTTATTTTTTAGTTAAGTAGTAATTTTATATTTATTTTTTATATTTAGATTATTATATATATATAATTTTTACTTTAATTATTACATTATCAGTTGGACCATATGAACTATGGATAGCTAATCTTTCTGATTTAATATTAGGTCCGATTTTAAAAATATTGTTAAATTCACTAATAGCTTCTTCTTTCCTCCCAAAATTAGGATCATATTATGATTTGTAATAATTTTTATTATATATATATATATATATATACTCCCTCCGTTAAAAAATGTGAGGTATTTTTTAAAGAATTAGACGTTAAAAAAATTAAAGTATTTTTAGTCTTTCAAAATATATTCATTGTCTTTTTTAAAAAAATGTCCCTATTTATAATATTAATAGAAAAAAATTAAAAAGATAGGGTTAATTAAAAAATAAATAACTACTTTATTAAAGGATGAGATTTAATTAAAAATATTTTATATTTTTAAATAAAAGAAATATATATATATATACACACACACATATTAATCATACATCAGTATACATTATTCGTCATAGTGTGCGCGCGCGCGCATTTCCATCTTGGTTGTGGGATTATAAGGGCGTTGAATGTTGAGCAATCATGCTTGTGGCACGCGAGCCGATATCTCAGGGATATGGTAGAATATGGAAACAACCAAAGCATGCGTTCACTAAATGATGCGAATCCAAAATAATTTCGACTCAATAAATTTTACTAATAAATAATAATCACTTAAGTATTTTAAATTTAAAAATTATTCACACGTGCATTTTTATTTCGTAAGAACATCCTGATCCATCCACACACCTTCAATATGAGCAGAAGTTTTATTTATTTTTCGGTCTTTAACATCATTTTTCTCTGAATGAATATGACTATCTCGTGCCAAAAAAAAAAAATATAAAACGAGAATGATTAATTGCGCCAACGCATTTTTGGAGTCCACTTTCTAACCAAAGCCTACAAGTTTTGGTGTGGAAGTCATTAATTAGTGCATCCGAAGATTAAGCATGCCTTCATGACGTGACAATATGGTCATAGACTCATGGTATCAAACATAGAGTGAATGCTTGTCAATATCAAAATCTTCAAGATTAATTGCTCTCTTTATGACTTACCCGCTTCAGATCTTCAAACACTACTGCGTGATTCACATTAATCGCCTTTTTTTTACACCCACCAAAAAGATAAATAAACACTAATTAGTATAAGTGACGAACCCAGAAAAATTAAGTAGTGGGGGCAAAATTTTTACTGAAGATAAATATTTATTTTTTTAAAAAATATAATTTTAAATATTTATTAAATAATTATTAGAGAATAAGACATGAAGCGTAACATTATAATAGTTTATCAGATAAAACTGTCTAATATAAATAAAATTTAACCACTCATGTGCTGTAGATGGTTTTTTGTGGTAATTTTTATTTAAACAATTAAAAAATTATTTTTAAATTATTATTCCTTCATTCTTAAACTATATCATTATTTGAAGTTATAATATATAAATTAGATTTGAGTTGAATAAACTTTTAGGGCGATAAGCAAACCTTTTCAAGGGGGCAGATGAATTTTTCCCTTCAATAGGGGGGCAACTGAAATTTTTTGGGCCAGTTTATTCAATTTTTTCTTTCCCTTGCGGGAGAATTTGCTTCTCTCTGGCTACCAAGTAGGTCCCTCTCTAATTATTATGATCCTACTATTCATAATTAACTAGCCTTTGTTTATTTTAAAATCTCAATATAGTTTACGGTATATATGTATGGGTGACAGTTACGTGTATTTGAAAAAAGAAAAAAAAAAAAAAAAGGAACAAGAGGGAGTATGTTATTTGGTTGTGAGGATGGGAACGAGAATATATAATAGCTGCAGTTACATGCTTTTGTTGGGTTTACTGGAGAGCAGCACAAGGAGGGGTCCAACCAATGTACATACGTAGGTTGAAAGGGACATGCGTACTAATTTAGTTTGCTCAGAAACACGTTGTAATTAATGAGTAGCTATAAAGCTATCAGTATTGATACTTTGATTAACGATTGACAAATTGACCATCTTTAATTACGTACAAGTCTGACAAAAAAAAGTTAAGTGGCCATACTGTTAGTTAATTCCGGTAATATATGGACTGTAAAGTAAGTAATTCCTTGGAATGCGGATATGATCCTGCCGGTTGTAAGCCAGCACTGCATAATGCACATAGCCTGCCATGGTGGGAGACGAGTGAGTGGACTTTGATAGCATTAATGAAGTTATAGGAGTACTGAAAATGCAATCCCAGTGGCCCAAACTAGACTTCATGACAAGTCACGCTACACTAATCAATTGTGCCATTCATTATTTCTCATATCATTCCTGAAAAACGCAGACTGCACTAAATTATCGTCTCATTTGTTCCTATCTTGACTTCCTTCCCACTTAGTACTTGCTTTCTTTATCACTTTTGACCTCGTTGCGTCTCACTCTCTGTTCACCAGATGTGGAAAAAGTAAAATCAAATCGTCTCCTCCTCCTACTTTATAGTTTATACTGCTTATTTTTAAAGGGAAACTACCTTTGATATTTACTTTATGGGGCTGTTGGCCCTAGCAAAAGGTTATGATTTCGGAATGGATGCTAGGTTTTTGTTACATATTTTTCCCCAGTAGTTCACCTGATATGTGACATTACCATAGGATTAACGTAGGTTTTATTTGACATATGGAAAAAAGAAAAAAAAAATACTGTGAGATAGCCATTTCAAAAACCGGCTGTTGGCCTCCTTACCTCTAGAGGTCGAGGGAAGATGATAGAGTAGACTTTTAATTCATGGGCTTTAGGAATATGCGGGCCAGTTGGCCGCATTCCAGATGAAATAATTCCAAAATTTCAAGCAAGTCAATGCTCAATGCCAGTGCGCTTAAGGCATGTCCATCGAGCATGCACTGTGGAATTGGATAATACAGGATCATGTTGTCCGTATAAGTTTTAACCATATAGTGGGCCCGAAATGAAAATCTCTCTAGAGCTACAATGTCAATTAATCTCAATTTGGCCCGCATTGCATGGGCAGGAGAAATGACCAAAAGGCTAAAGAAAAAGCGTTCTGGTTTTGAGATTTTTGTGGAAGATAAATTTCACCACAAACGAAATCCTTTCCTTTATTTAGACACGTGGATTCCCGCCAAACATCTGCATAGCTTGGCGTAAGTCTTCAACCAAGGTCAAAGGCAACAGATAAAGGCCCTTGCTCTCTAACAGCTGAGCTGCTGCTGCTGGATTTTCCTCAACCAGTTTTCCCATCATCTCCTCAAGAGGTTCATTCAGCATCTGCTGGCTAATATAGTGGCCATAACCCTGCAAAATCATAAATACAGCAGAAGGTTCTTCCTTCAGCAAAAAAGAAAGAAAGAAAGAAAGAAAGAAAGAAAGAAAAGAAACAGTGAAGAGAAACTAATTCCACGGGGTTTGATTTTGGAAATATTAGTTTTATCGTGATTCTGGGTGTAATACCTCACGGAATGTGAGTGGCATGGCAGGTGATTCGCCTTGCAATCTACTTCCACTTAATACCTGCAAGGAAATATTAAGGAACAACAAATTCTGGTTACAGAAGTTTCAGGTTATCTTACCATTCGACGCACATATATGTCATCATGTCATATGGAAAGGGAACTATCTGATGTCTCATTTCTAGATCAGTCAATGATGAAATATAAAAACATGCTTAGATTCTGATTGTAACCTACTCGGAAGCTCAAAAAATTCAACAAGAAGATCTCCTCACCCAGTCATCGAAGTTTAATGCTGATATCCCTGTAAATGGATCTATAGAGGAAGGCATGCAAGAGAATCAAATATGACTTCAGTTGCATGTTTATTATTATTAGATGTTGTTCAGCAATTTTATCCATAAATGTATTTCAGCTTGTGTTATAAACATAAAGAAATGGCCCTTTTTCTTTTTCTTTTTTCTTTTTTTAATAACAGAAATGGCCTTTTTCTCTGAGCAAGTTGAGCCTCCCTTCTTCTTTTAGTATTTACATTTTTCTAATCGCTGCCATTCTCCTACAATCTTGTAATTAATGAAATAGACTATTGTATAGTATGACAAACTTGCGCTGTATGCACGTGAGACTACCTAAGCACGTGATTGATGAGAACATTAAGAGTGATACCTTTATCTGAAGCTGCAAATATTTGACATAGTCAATGATGTCATCCAGTATATATGTCGAGCAACCCTGCAGAAAAAAAATCAGTACGTGACAAAAATTGGGTATTGTTTGTTTACTAGGAAGGTCATGACCCCAGTGGTAATCTGAATGTACTAAAAGTACATTATTTGGCAGATTAACCTGTTTTCAGCACCATATTCTTCCCAGATGAACTGTTCACTCCCGCACCAATTTCTAAAGCTAAGTATCTATATACTTTTTCCCTTGCCGGTGAGGTGCCACAGTAAAAAGTGTTCAATGGTTTACAAGTATGTTGGGGATTGCTTTGGTTTTAGTCAAAACCACATTTTGACTAAAAGCCACTCTCACATTGCTGAAACCAACTTAGTAGCAAGCACTACTACAGTTACCAATGGCCTAGAATCCGTTTCATGTCTTTCCTTTGTCCCTTTTTAACCAAACTTACTGTAATTTACTCGCTAGACCTTCAGTAAATTCTGTGGTTTGAAGTCAGTTCATCAGCTGGCATTTATATGCACAGTAATCACACTAATTCAAGTGCCTGGATTACAGTTTTGATTTATTTATTAATTTTTGGATTATCTAGCTAACGCGACCAACTATGAAACATCGCACCAATGACAAATAATGAAAAGGTCCTCCTCTGTAGACCAGGTCACATTCAGAAATAAACAACAGATTACCTCTGCTGGAGCCGGTAGCAAGTCGTGCAAAGCTTTAAGGTTATCAGCAATACGTTGCCTGCGTTGCTGGATGTAGAAAAGATAGATAAGGAAGCTAAAATATGTCAGAAAATGAAATGAGGAAGCTAGAATATAGTCAGTATAAGAAAATCAGAAAATCAATAAATGAGTAAGTGGCCTTGATATTAGACTGTAAGCCAAATATGATCTTGAAATTAATAAGTGGCCTTGATATGGGCTGTAAGTTAAAAACATTCAGTGTGGTCAACGGTTAGTGTTTTACTTACACGGTCAGCTGCCATGGCTTTCTGTTTTGATGAACTACTTCGTGATTTGGGAAGGAAACCAGGTTCACCTCCTGTTACCCTTCGATCAAGTTTTGAAGCAGAATGCTTATCTCCAGTTGATTCTGCTTTCCACGGAGCTTGGCTCTGCTACAGAATTATAGTCCAAGTTATTATTAGGGTCAGAAATTTTATAACGTTGAAGAATCTCAAGAATTGAAACGCTTCAAGCACAATCTATCACTGACGTTAAAACTAGAGATATGCTTGTTAATAAAATATTAAGGGAATAATTAACCTCAGAATGATGGTCGGGTTGGTTAGTTGCGAATTTCTTCGATTGGTGGCCTTCACTATTTGGTCTCCAAAAACCCACCTGGTGAAACACGGGAGAAAAGTAATAAAACAGAGAGAAATAGTCAACTTCTGTAATCTGTTCAGGCATATTAAGTGAACGGCAACATCATCACTGAGGTTTATTTCAATAAGTGATTTTGTGTTCAATGTCTTCAGTCTTCACCTTCCTAAAGTCTATGCCAGCAGAAGAATCAGGAGCTTTAAAACAGCATGCTTTTCCTGGATCATTATAAAAGAAGTTCCTGTCTGTTCCATTGACCCCATTAACATCGTGTAAGCTACCAACAGGAGGATAACAGCTGCCAAGTACATACTCGGCGGTAGTATTTGGCAGATATGGTGAGGCTTCTGTGAGATACTCCACATAGTTATGAAATGGTTCTGGGAGGCAGGTCCCCTGGCTTCCATTCCCAATTTTTCCATCAGCTGTGGCGGAATCCTCACCACTTCCTCTAGAGTTGGAAGGCATCATCTTCGGAGGGTTCTCTTGGTCACTTTGTCCTTCCATTGAAGAGCTTTCTGATCACTTATATAATCTGCAAGGAATATACATAAAAAGGAAAAAAAAAAATCTAAGTGTTAAAACCCTTGGATAGCAAGACTTGGTATTTCAAGAAGTCCAACTTATTTATGAATGAAATGAAATGCAGTGAATCAGGAAGTGGGAAATTCTTTGATTCAATAAAAAACAGGAACTGAAACGGAAATAAAACTACGGGGAGCTTTTGAAACATCCGGGGATAAGAATCTAGAATCTACACGAGTTGAAGGCTATAAAAGATAGTTGCTTGAGCCAAAAGCTTTCTAAACGAACACAGATATCGCACTATAGCCATCGCCAAACAACAGCGCGATAAGGAGAAAGAATTACGATGGAGGAGAAAGGCGGTTGCTTGATAGACCTGAAGAATGAGAAGAGAGGCGTTTTGGGGCATCTACTTGAATCGAGAGCGAGCGAGAGATAAAATGGGGATGCGCGTGTTCTGCTGTGTCAGTGAGCGGGTACGTTGTCGCATGTCCGCCCAACGAAGATGATGTGCTGGCCATTACTGAAATACTCTAATGAAATACCGATTTTGACCCTACTTTATATGGACTAGGGCTTGCACTTTGGGCCGATGCGCCCTGTGATGAGACCATAACTTCTCATGAACTTAAGACAATTGAACCTGAAATCCCATATTTGAGTCTCAGTCTCTCAGACCATGCAGTAACGCCAGTGGTGCTTGCAAAATCCTTTCTAAGAGGGTAAGCTAAACAAACATGTGAATTAGTCTGAAATGAACTTGACAGATAATGAACCCAGTATATTCAAATGTTTTAGGATATCGGGTGAGTCTACAAAAAAAAAAAGTCTTAACATATTTCATTTGAAATATAATCATTATAATAATATAATCAAATATGTTAAATTTATTTTTTAAATTGATAATTGGCAGTAATTTTATTTATAAATGACCGAATTAAAAAACTCAAAAATATGAGATTAAATTCAAGTTAATTAAAAAGGTATCTATAAAGAATTATATATATATATATATTTTGATTGCTTCCCTTGCTAGCTCATATATGAAAAATATTTGAGTTTATATAAGGAATATCTCACCTGCAGAGTCTATCACTTTTACCGTTAAACCTAGTTGATATGAAGACATCAAGCATACGGTATCTGCATCAACATGCAAAATAATCTTTTATATCCGTAAAATAAAGTTTTTAATCTTCTATTTCCAATGCAAGTTCACCCAACGGAAATGTACTTGTAAGTCTACGAAAGAGCTCTAAGATCTGTTATCCGTAAATAAAATTACTACTTCACTCATGCCCAATTAGTTTAGTCATCAGTGACAATAAGACGTCTCCAATTGAAAAGGTCGCAATTTCTAACAAGGTAAGGTTTAGGTCAAAAATGAAGTGTGTGGGGATTTTCCATGGAAAAAAAAAAAAGCGTAGGATGTGAGTGTTAAAAAAAAAAAAAGCAAATAAAGTTGAAACCTCGTAGGTATGAATATCATAATAAAATTTAACTACTGATTTTTGAAGGGAAGGATAAATCAACTAAGCAATCTGATGATCGTTAGTTGGACTGTCGGACTCGGAGCATTAAGTAGAAGATGGGCCTGGATACGAGGCATAGGAAGGATTGCAAGCCCATTAAGAATGGGTCGAGCCCATTACTTGTTCACAAAGTAAAAAAGTGGGTAGTTGGGGCTGGGACCTATTATTCCCGGGTTGATGTAAGGTATCGCCGAATCGCGGAAACATATAGAAAGCATATTCCTACTATTCTACATTCCTTTTTTAATTGAGAAACACTTCTTTGCGTTCATGTGTTGATTTGTTATCTGGTTTCTGTGATTTGCCCCCTCTCCATCATTTCCTTAAGTTTTCCCAATCTAATCCTTCTCTCCACCCCACGAGCCACATCCGGATCAGAAAAGAGACCTAACAGAACAGAAACATCAGTCGGAGGTCAGAGAGACCTTACTTTTGGATCCCTGTTCGCACTCCAAGATCGCCCTCCCTTGCTGCTACACATAATCATGGCGACCTCTCAGTTTCTTCTCAGAGAAGACGACCTTCTTCGTTCTTTTCTTGAACCTCCAAGAGGTACTCTTTTTTAATCTTCCATCTCCTATTCCAATGTTCTATGATTTATGAAGTTTTCGTCCTGCTAACTGAGAATCATAATAGCGAAATAAAGCTCTAGACTTACCTCTTGCGATATGACAAGGAATACTTATAAGTTACCTTTTGTCGGGATTGATTTTGTTTTTCCTTTCCGAATTTTCTGTTTTAATTTTACATGCCGAGATCAGTGAATTCGCTCCTACTCTTCCTGGCAAGGCTGTTTAGAATAGCATCGAATAATTTTTTTCAATGAACAGGAGATGATGCTAAATCCGAGAGGATGACAATTGAGAAAAAGATCGAATTCCTCGAGAGCTTGACTGGAAAGGTAAGATTTTACATTACTGTTTTTGTGTATCTCATTTAGTGCTGGTTGTGTCATAAGACTCATGACAAATGGTGGATGTTGGTGTTTTCTTTTACGGGAATCTTATGAGTACATTAGTGAGTTCAATGCTTTCTTTGGTTGATCTAAGATGAAATTATTAGGTTCGGAGGGGTTCGGAGATTAAAGATTGTTGATATGCTTTTGTATATTAAAACTTGGTTACCTTAAATTTGTTAGTATTCATGAGCATGGATACCTTCCAGGTCCACTTATGTTTTATAGCATGTCCCAAGCCCAGATAAAAGAAGAGAGCTGTGTTAGACTCAGATAAAACTATGTTAAATTTCACATGGATATGGACAATAGACATTCTGATAAGAGGCAGATTCGTAGTGATTTGGAGTTTATATTAGCAGACCACAAGTGAGTAGCCTTTCTTCATTTTGATTAGGTTTTGTTGTTGTTGTTTTCCAAAAGGCAGCTAAGCATATGCACATGGCAGCTGCCATGCCATCATCTGCCATGGTGGCATAATAGTTTTTTAGCCTGCCATCTTATGCCACTGACAATACTTGTGGGGGAAGCAACTATCTCTTTTTATTTATGAGAACCCTCATCAATTTCATGATTTTGGTACTTACAGCGTGAAAGACGTTCTTTATAAGCTTGTTATTAAATATTAATTTGACTCTTTTTCAATAAATGTTTAAATAAATTTTGTAAACTCATTGACATGAACTCCATCTTATTTAAACTAAAATGATGACGATCAGAAGAACTATATTCTTCATCCTTTTGATAGTTTATCGATTAATTGGTGACTTGCTAATTTTATCAGGTTACAAATCGAAGGTCTCGTAGGTGGTTAAATGATCGTCTCTTAATGGAACTTGTTCCTCGACTGGATGCCGAGGAAATTAGGGGCTTGTTCGCTCCACCACCATGGGGTAATAATCTGGATTGTTATCTGATGCACGCGCTATTCATTGCATTCAATCAGGCGTTTTGCATCTTCAAGATTTTCTTCACAATTGAATTGTTAGCAGAAGTTTTGTTGCCTTTGTAAGTCATTAATTGATAGTTCCACTTTTAGCTTCTTCTCTATGTGCATGTTTCATTATTGCATTAAATGCATCGGAGATGGAAATATAGTTATCATTCATCTCTCTTTCTATATACATGCACATTATGTGAGATAATTATGGGTCAGCCCTGAAAATCTGCTTCAAGTCTTTATGTTACTGTAATTCCAGGTGAAACTGATTCCAAGCTTGCAGCATTCTATAAACCTCAGCTGATTATTTTTTTATTTAGTATTTCATTTTAATAATTTTGGATTCATTTTACAGGTGATGAAGTTCCACCTTCGGTTTTTTGCATGACAAATGTGGGAGAGTGGGATAGATTTAGGAATATAGACATGGATAAAGAGGTTGGAGTTGCTTCTTTTATCTTTTTTAGTATCCTTGAAAATTTTCCACTGCTTTGAAAACGCAATTTGATTGTGATACCTTATAAATTACTAATATGTGCAAATTTTGGGTAGCCAGTGGTAATCAGTAATGGGATGCAGGGATGGCTGACCATCATCTAAACCTAGGTGTTATTTCTTTTTCTAGGTTAATATTATTCATGCCCTGGAAAGCTCTGTCACTAAGAAGAAAGGTCATATTGATGCCGACAAGGCGGAAGTATTGAATGCTTGGCGTAGGGTGGATTCCCGAACAAGAGAGGCACTACGCCGCAGCTTTTTATGGGAGCTGATAGATGGTTATGAGGTAATTACATTTTATTGATGAATTGTATTCCCTGCCTCAGCCAACTGTACAAAGGCATGGAGAACGGACTTTTATAGAATATGTTAATGGCAGATAACAGAAAGATTAACCTTTTCTTTTAGGAATGTATACGGACTTTCGTCAGTGAGAGCACCGATCAGGATGTTCTTGAACTACGCATACGAGATCCTTTTCATAGGTTGCTGCTGCATGGTGTCTGTGAGGTATCTAAGCTATGCGGCTCCCTTAAAACTGGAACATTCTATACTTATCGCCATGCAAACTAACAATGTAAAGAGAGAATCATGTGCTTGTGCTTGAAAGTGTATAATTCGTGGGGGTTTTCTTCTGTACACAGTTCTACAACTTAGTCTCCGTTACAGTGACGGGAGGAAATGGAATGGAGGCTTCTAAGGTGACAACCATAAAGAAGAAGAAAAAGGGTTCTCCGGTGCTCCCAAGTATCACTCTGTCCCACTTCCTGAAAATGTCTAAGGAAGGCAGTTGGTAACTGCACTAGGTGGAGGCAGAGATGACGTTGCTGTAGCTGTAGATAAAGCTTCCTCCTGTAGGCTGTAGCTTAATATGATGTGTTCAGTGTTCCTAAATAACATTGCAATTTAATTGGTCTCCCTGTAAATTGTAACATACCATGAGTCAACAGTAGTAGTTGATTGTTGGATCTGGGAAACTTAGGAAATAAGTCATTTATAAATTTGTCTCTTATGATTCAGATGATGTTCACATCTGCTTAGTTTGCTGCTTCATCAAAGTACTGCCACACCCCTCCCCCGCCCCCTGACAGTGCAGCAACAATAGTGGGGAGAAAGAGGGGAGGTAGCCAAGTTGCTTTGATTAATATATTCAGATTCTTTATCCAATTGAGTCCATTTTATTTGCTTAAAGTTTCCCCACTGAAATTGTGAAATTAAATTATAATGATATTCTATTTTGCATCTGGTACAAGAATCGATGGTCCAAGACCACCATGTCACCAAGTTTGAGGCATCGAAAGCTATCTTGCAGGTTACAGGGCGAGTCTTTTTTCCATACTTCACTCTTCAACCATTTGCACATGTTATTCATGTAACTAAATATATTATGAATAACAATGATGTCCCACATTTTCCTGAACTATTTCCCTAAATGGGCGAAATTGGTGATATTGAAATTAGAACATGCGGTTCCCTGAAGCAGCACAGAAGAGCTAAAACCCAACCTGCGAGATTGTAGATCGAACTGCAGCAGATTATCCTCAAACTGATGCCCTCCGATCACAATCGGCGTCCTCCTATTGGTCCCACCGTCCACAAAGCCCAGGCACCATAAATCCCCTCCTTCCCTCGAAATCCTCACCATCGAGTTCGACCCGAACACTCTCCAGAACACTTCCTCGCTCTGCATCACCAGATCAACGGTCGGAACCGCAGGTCCCACTCTTGTCTCTGTGAGGTCCGCCGCAGGATAGCACACGCTGAAGGGCTCCACCGCCACCGTTCCTGTGAGATTGAAAGCAGAGGATTCGTTCACGAACAGTTGAGTGAATGCCTTGTATACAGAAGTCTCCATGATGGTGTAGGGACTGGCTGTGCTGACCTTGCAGCCACCAAATCCGTTCTCATCAATGCTCAAGCGTGACCCGTTGAGAGGTACGGGATTTCCGTTGACACGAATTGAAGTGACGTTGATGAAATACTCATCGGACGGTTGTCCGTTGTAGGTGATCACGGTGTCACCGACTGGGTTCAAGATAAGAGTCGTGTAAACAAGCGATTTGGAGAGGTCAATTTTGGAAGAGAAAATATAAGGCCCGCGCGAACCGAAGAAGGCCACGCCGGGGCCGGAGAGGGAGCCAGGTAAGCAGAGCGCAAAGCAGCGCGGAGACGACAAGGCGGTGCTAATTTGCGCGGGGAGAGAGTGGTTAGAGCGACCCAGCGCGGCTAAGCCAGTGACACCGTGAGGGAGGCCTTGAAGCAGAGGGGTGGTGGCGCAAGAGAAGATGTAATCGGAGACGAGAGCGAGGGAACCGAGAGAGGAGCCGTCTGTGGTGGGAAGAGCAAGGGAATCGATGAGCGCGATGTCTAGAAGGGCCTTTCGGGTGACAGGATTCTCAGGGAAGAGAGCGCAAGTGTTGTTCGCGCAATGCGGGCCAGGGGGACGGAAGCAGTCGGAGCAAGCGGCGGCGTGGAAGGAGGAGCAGAGGGAAGAGTTGCAGGGAGTGTGAAGGAAGGAGGAGGAGGTGTAGTTGGAGTCGCAGAGGAGCCAGGAGAAGGAGGAACCGAGGTCGAGCTGAAGGAGGGTGAGTTGGGGAGGGGTCTTGAGGTAGAGGGAGAGGATGTAGAGGAGGGTAGAATTGTCTTTTGAGATGGGAGCTAGGAGAGGCGTCTGGAGGGAGGGAATGGGGGAGAGGGAAAGGGGAATGAGGAAGAGGATGAAGAAGGAAAGGGACATGTTTGGGAATTGCAGTGAAAATGGAGGCAACGGAGGAAGAGACACGGAGACAGGGGAGGAAGATGAAGTGGGATGGTGTCGGTGACGGTGCATGATTGTGGGTTGTTTATTGTATTTTAATGCAATTACAAGATAGGAATAGACTAATAGTGTAATTCTAATCCGGCCCCAGCTTCTCTTTGCTTCCTTCAGGTGGAATCAGGATCTCCTGTTTTTACACATCTTAGATATTTCTTCAACTGTTGATGTACCAATACATTACACACTTTGACATAGGCTTTTCTACACGCTCGTGTGTCAACACACACACACACACACACACACACACACACACACACACACACACACACACACACAGGATTAGATTCTGACTCGTTTTCGATATTTTCTTATAATAAATCTTACTCGTTTTCAATATATGATTATATTAAATCAAATGAATAATTAAATAGATTGATGGGATTGGATATGAATATTTGTAATGAGAGAATGTAACTCATGCACAGGCTGTAGAGTTAAAAGTAGTATGGCATGCATGCTATGCTAATGGTGATTCCAAGTTTCCAACCCTTCTAGTTGCATTTTCTTGTGAATGAACCCGCATATTTGGGGTTAGGATTTGGCCGGTTTAACCCTTTCGTTTTTTGTTTTTTAAAAAACGGAGGGTTATCTCCCACACATTCAAACCCTAAAAGCTAAAACCCACATTTTATAGGGCAAGATTTAGATATTTACTTTTATATACTTTATATTTTTTTACCTAATTAAATTAATTTAAGTGAATTTTAATGTTAATAATATTAATAACAAAAACTTGTTATGGAATAAATAATTTATAAAGGATATACATATCACCTTAAGTATAAAAGTTTTGTCCTATTTTATATTCGTGATGGATCAAGGATGATAAACATGTTATGTTTCATGACTATCTTTTGCCTTTTAAATATATTATAGACGTTGGTATCAATTTATTTTCTTCAGTGGTAAATTATGTTATGTTGAACAAGCTTATGTTGATAATGTGTATAATGTAGTATGTGGGTTTAAATTAAATAATGCATTATGTGAGTTAAATTTATATGTCAAAAATTATTAGAATTTATGGGAAAACATTGTGTGGCTTTTTGTAGGTTAACCTATCTGATTTAACGATTCACATGAGTCAAGTTGGGTTAGTAAAATCTTAATCCACATGAAAATGAGTTGATACAACCTATCCTGCTTTGATTTCGTATGGATGGTTCTCTATTTAAATATCTTGTTGAGTTTGATGTTCGAATACCAAAAGTTTGCCCGGGAGAAGGAAAAGAACAAGAAATGCTCTAACTCCAAGCATATTTAGTACTTTCCTTATTTTGGCACTGAGACTCAAATTATATTTTTACGATCTCTAGTTCTCTACAGATCCACCGTATTTACTTCATATAGTTTCAATTAATGAACACGATTATCAATTATGATTGTTTAACAATCTTCTTACAGCTGTTTAATTTTGTTACATACATTTATATGTAAGAAATCTTAATAATTAAAAAATCCCATCAAATTAAATCACCCGTTTCTCTCTCTTCTACAGATCCTGTGAGATCTTTTGGATGTGTAAAGATTTCAATGATAATTAATGAGTTCATATTCAAAGTTTAATTAAAAAATAAATATTTAATCAGATTTAGTATCAGAATGGAGTGTTTCATGTTCTTGCATATCCATGGTTAAACAAAGCAAAAGTACTTCATTGAGGCAACCCCAACTCCAACAGAAGTTATATTGATTAATATAATTTCTAATATGCCATGCCAATTACCAAAGATTGGAAAAACAAGATAAGTGAAAACTCAAATTTATTGAATCAGCTGAACCACAGCAGTACAATATGTATTCCCATAATATCTAACCGATACAGTAGATGTTGAGTATTAACCATTAACGTTACTGTCCAAAACTTGAACAAAAAGACTATGCCTTTTCCTTTGCACAGCTTGAAATTTTCATCCCACCTAAACAATTACAGAAAGGCTCTGAAAATTGAGGCTACATCTCAGCCTCATCTTCCCAAACCCAAGATATATGGATGAAATTCCTCTCACCACTGAAGCAGGTGATTCCAATCGCTTCCCGTATAGTAATTCCGCAATGCTCCGATATCATCTCTTCCATTCCCCGTCGAGGGTTGTGCCCCATTCATACAAGTACAAAGCAATTCTATTTCTGGCTCCCAAATATGGTTCGGCACGAAATTATCAGTATTCTGCGGAACCCACAGACTCTTGTTGCCGATACTGCTCATAAATGAACAATCTGTATCAGCAGTAACAGCCAGCGATTCTTCTGTAAATTGGGTTGGCTGATTTGGTTGTACAGAAGAAACCGTAGGTTGGCCGTATGATTCTATCTTGTGTGTTGACAGATCATCCCGATATTCACAAACCTCCAAGAAGCTCTCAGAATTATTCGCACCAGCACAGAAATGAGTGGCTTTTTGGGTACTCAGCATCTTGATTTTCTCATCCACAGTTTCCAGTTTCGAGTCCAATTCCCTCAGTAGAGTCATCAGTGACTCTGCAGAAAGCTTCCCCGCCGAATCGTTCGTTGGTTTCTTCTTTTCCTCTGATTCCGACACGTGCGAGTGTTTGTCCTTCTTAATGCCGCCATTCTTCATCTTCTCATCAGCTTGCTTTTCTCTGTGCTTCCTGAGCACGGCCTTCACTATCTCATGATTTGGCCATGTCTCAATTTCTCCATTAGGCCCAATGCACACTAAACTCACGCGAGCGTCGCTCTTCACAGTAAGCTCATGACATTTTCTAAACAAGGTTTCTTTTCTCTTCTTGGAGTTCAAGAGTGGAACTCCACCAATTCTCTTCCTCTGTTCTCTGTATCCGCATAATCCTGAGCTTCTCGCCATGGGCGGTGAAATACAAACCCTGGAACTATTTAGACAGTTGCCTTGCCTTGTTCCGCAAGGATTAATCATCTAAACAAGCCTTGTATCAGCTACTATTTTTCTTGGGTAATAATTGAATATATATATATATATATATATATATGATTCATAGAAAAAAGCCTTTCCGTAGACTTTTAGTGGTGGGATTATGTACACAATTAAATTCACTAAATCAAGATTGTTTTTTTGGTATTGAGTCAATATATTCTTTTATTATAACAGATTTAAACATGGGGTAATCACATGATGAAAAAATTGAATTAAACTCAAATAATGACAAAAAAATTGAAAATTCAAAATACTGATCAAAGATTTTTTTAGTGAATTGATCTAAAAGTTGAAAGAAAAATTTGTCAAATATAACATTGTTTTGAAATAATTTTATTTTAAAATTGAAAAATCTTACTTCCACATTCATATTTTGAGGGTAACAAATAAGAGTAGCAAATTATTGAAAATAATTATATGTTTAAAAAGTTTCATATTATTCACCTTTTGGATTATTTAATTCAATCTTTTAATTATTTCATCTTATTCACCTTTAAATAGTTTTTTAAAATAAAATATTAGTTTTTCGTAAATTAGTGAATTTCACTAGCAAATTTTTATTTTGATAGTTGCAAATCATATATTGAACGAATTTTTAAACAAATTTAATAAAGGATCTTCGGTCCTAATTTTGGATTTTTAAATTTTTCTATCCTTATTTAAATTTAATTCAATCTTTTATTTTTTTAATGTTATTCACCTGAAAGCGGTTGTTTAAAATGAAATATTATTATTTTTAATTCAAATGATATGAAATTTTATATGATGATGAATTAAAAACATAATATATTAACCTTGAAAAGTTTGTATACTTTAGAGAATTTTTTAATATTAATTTTCATATGGATTTCATATTAATATTATTGAGAGAAATGTTATTATGAGATATTAATAATTCAATAAAATATTAAAATATACAAAAACAATAATTTTTTTAAAAGAAATGCATACGTTGTTTTATAAAATTTTCATCCATAATATATGCAATGGTTGTTACTGTCACAAAAGAAAATTCAAAACTAAAGTGGCTTAAACTCTATATGAGACCAAATATATTATTAAATATATTCAATGAATTAAACATATTATCTATTAAAAAAATTAAATTTTCACAATGAAGTAAAATGAAACTTTTCTGAAAACAAGGCTCAAAAGAAGGAGCCAGATTCTCTTCCCTACCATTCCCATTCTCTATCTCTTTTCTTTTCTTTCTTTCTTTCTTTTTTTTTTCCCTTCTCTAACTATGTTTGGATGACTTAAGATTTAATTTTTTATAAAATTATTATTCAAAGATTAAAGGAAAAATTATGTATAAGTCTTATAGAAGTCTCATAAATTTGAAAAAAATGCAGACAATTCTTTTAGAATCCAAATGTAATTAAAATGGAAGAATCACATTTAAAGACCATTTTAAAAAAATTTACAGACAATGATCAACACAAAATAAATTGTTATCAAAATATGAACATAATTTATTTTTTCTCAAATAAATTTGTTGTTAATTTTTATCTGTGAATAATTTACTTGAATGCTCATTGAATATGATTCTTCCAATTAAAATTTTAGCCAAAAGACCTTCGTGCCCCTACTCATTAAAACAAAAGGAACCAACAGACTAAAATCATATTTATCTTACTTTTGCAATTGAAATTTCATCATTTATAAATATAAATTCTTAATTCATAAGTCATATTTCATTATTTATAAATGATTAAGGATTATTTTTATCTTTCAATTATACACAAAAGTTATTAAAAATTTTAAATTTAATTATGAGTCATTTATATTTCTCAACTTTAAAATATTTTTTAGTGGGGCTTACATTTTAATTTTTATTATAAAATATTCAGTGGGGCCAACCATTTATTTATTTATTTTTTTCTTCCTCCCTCACTCTCCTGCCCGCTACCTCTCATTCTCCCGTCTGGCTCCATGCAGATCCCATTCATTTGCACTCCTTGCAGGCTTGCATTACCCGCCTCCTTCTCCTGGCCACAAGCACCAGCAAAACAAGCAGGATGAAGCATGAGCAGAGAGTGTCGATTACCTTCATCAGTCACTTGCTTTTCCTTTTTTTTTTTTTTTTCCCTGACACCTTCACGTTTAGGCCTTCATCAATTCACATTTAACAATCACCTTTACTTCCTCTTTTTGTAACGCACTCCACCTGCCATTCCAATTACAAGGCCTTGTTCCCCAAGAAAACCAAAAAAAAAAAAAAGAAATCTGATTCATACACAAACATCACAAGTGACAAGCAAGCCAAGCCGGACTACTCACAACCTCAGTTGCTTCATGAAATGCACTTGCCTGGATTTCTAATGAATCATGGCAGCATGAGGCCGAAGGAGAAGCTGATTCAAGCCAAGTTATAGCCTTTCATATTGCAGTCCGGCAGTGGGAATCCATGACCACTGATTCGTGGGGGCATCGAAGGAGATCCACATGATGTCCTAAAACTCCTTCCCAATTCGTCACCAGAGATGCTCTGACTACTCCGTTCCTCTGCTCCAAGCACCCCATCATGACCCCATCCTCCGTTCATCTGATCACCTCGATTGGTGCCTTTGACATGAATTGCCATTCCTTCCCGTTTCTTCCCTTCCCGCCCCACATCTCTATCCCCTTCATTGCCCTCTTCTTCCCGTCTCCTCCTCCTCCTCCTCCTCCTGATTCCACAATCATCATGTACCCGTCACCGTACACATGTAGTCTGTCTATCACCTTCCCCCAGCTGAACCCTACCCTCATCTCTTTGTCTCTCTCGCCCTCACCGTCGCTTCACTTCAACCTCCGCCAGCATGCTTTCTCTCCGACCGTTGATCACATTCAGGAATATGCCTTCTTCTTCTTTTTGTCCTCTATTTGTGTCCTCTTCTGCTTCCATGGCCTTTCATGTGTCAGTGATGACGTCGTACACGAAGACCACTGGCAGTTCTCACGATGTTGGAGAAGAGGAAGACGTTCCCGGAGGCCTTCAGGAAGTAGAGATCTTTGGAGAGATGGATGGGCTTCGGGAGCTCCATGAACGGAATTCGGAACCATCGAAGATTTCAGCGAGCCATTTGCCGGCTGTGGGACAGGAGATACAGGATCAGTGGAAGAAGCCCATGGAAGACGGACTTAGGGAGTGAGAGAGAGTGGGGGATGAGGGGGGGAAGAAAGGAGAAAAAATGTTTAAAAAAAATTAAATGGTAGGACTCATTTAAATATTAATAATAAAAAAATTAAAAAATTTAAATATAAACTCCGCCCACAAAAAAAAAATTAAATGAAGGAAAAGACAAAACGATGGAATAAAAAATATTTAAAATTAAAAAATATAAATGACATATAATTAAATTTAAGATTTTTAATGGCCTTCAGAATACAATTAAAGGATGAAAATGACCCTTAACTCATTTATAAATAATAAAATAAAGTCATATTTACTTTTTATTTATAACTATAATTTTAAATTTTAAATTTACAAGTTATATTTTATATATAATAAATAATAGACTAAAGTTATATTTACCTTTCATTTATAACTATAATTTCAAAATTTACAAGTAAAAATTATTAATTTATAAGTCATTTTTCATGTTTTATAAATATAAATACATCATTTTTTATATATAATTTAATATATTTTGATAAGGATAGTATTGTCTTTACATCCCAACCATAAATTACATTCAAGTTGAGATCTCTTTCAAATATTAATTTAAAATTTAAAATATTGTAATGAAACTCAAATAATATAGAAGCATAATCCTCATGGACTAATTCTTTCAAAAACAAGTTTGTAAAGAATAACAAGACCAAAAGGAATTATTTCAAAAATCAGAAGTAGAACAAGGACATTTTGTCCAAAGTGTGCCATCCGCCTTTGCCAACTCCCCGTACATCATGACGAGCAGCATAGAGGCACTAAGCAGCGGCTAGGAACGTTAGCCACGACAGGCCAAGTGCCAACAACTTGATGCATCGTGCGTCGCAGCTGAATAGCTATGCGCCACGTCCAACTAATTCTAACAGCAACTTGACAAAATGAACAAAACAGCAAAGTTCAGAGATGCATAGCTTTTGATACGCCACTCCAAATTAAGTGATTTAAAATTTATAACAAAATTTAATTAATGACTTCGGCTTGATATAAAAAAAATTTCTATGTGAGAATTTTATCCCCAAAGCATCATTAAAGGTCAAAAAAATACTTTTCCCAAATATTTTCACTTACCAAAACCACAACCAAAGCCTAGACACATGTGTAAACCACTTAACTACATCACATATGAACAAAATAACTTAGATGAAATATCATATTTATCATATACATAGAATTTTACTAGTTAGGTTACAGCTACCTAATATAAATATAATGATAAACTTAACATATTTTTAGTGTACTCAATATTATCACCCAAACATACTAAAAAACAATACTTAGATGATATCAAAACGAGACAATGAGGGGCAAAAGTTCACTTCCAGTTGTCATATGTATATTTAATCCAAAATATAAAGTTACAAATGTTGAATCTCATAAAATATGCTCCTAAACGGGTATAAGTATACATTGACAATAAATGAGGCTTAATAAAACAAAGTGGTGTCACAAACACCACAACTTTTTTGGTTGAACTTGTCATGTAAAAATGTTAACTATAGAAAATGAGACATAAGGTCTCAATAACTAATGCTATTATGCCATAATGCATGTCATGTAACTAATTATATGATTGTTAAGTGAGGATACAAAACATATTTTCAAACAATTTAGATGCAAGGAAACTAAACAAATGATACATATCTACACCTTATCTCCTCCCCAGTCCATGGACCAATGTCCATTCCTAGTGCTTAACTACCTGGCCAAAGTCGACTACTTGCCACTCATTGCATTCAAATGAGGGCATATCACGTGGCACTGATTCAAGTCTCAATACACCCTCTTAACAAAACCCATATGTGTTAATATCATACATATAGAATCTCCAAACAATTGCGATTGCCAATAATTAATCATACTTTCACCATAATTATAATTTCATACCTAACATAATGATATATAGTTTTTCATTCCACTAACAATACATTTTTTTCTAACAATAATTATATATATTTCCAAACATGCACTTTCCAAACAACAATTATTTTCAACAATTTACACACAATCAATTGCACAACATACACCACAACATAAAAATAAAGGTTACCTTAATACCTTAGCAAATAACTTCCTAGTAAGCATGGTTTAATACCACCAATGACTTCAATACCATAATCTACAAAAATATTAAATACTAAATATAATTAACAATTATGATTAAGCATTAATCACCCCCTAATCTTAGGGTTAGGTTAATTAATCTATAACCCTAATGCATTCCCATACACTTTAATAATCAAACTTAATTATTCTCATCCTCATTACACTTCTTAATCATAAATTTAGCCTTTAATTACTTTAATCATTATTAATCATTCTCTTTCAAGTTTAGGGTTTTGGATGTAAAAGCTCCATTATGATAACTATTATCGAAACAACCTAAATAACACTTATTTAATCTCAGACAACCCATAAATTTCAATCCTCGTGGCTGGAGTTACTTCATATTCAAAATCCTAACCTTAATCACTATTTAAACTTGCTTAAAAAGGAGATTAGAGGGTAGGAAATGGATTAAAAGTGTTGCCTTAAACAATTAAGGGTTAGAATCCATACCCTAGTAATGGAAAAGTCAAAACCCTAGCAAAGTTAAAGAAAATTGCCCAGAACTCTTCAAAAACCTTTTCTCTGGCATATATTTCGCGAACAGACAATTAAGTTTGATTTTTGTTTGTTCGCCATGATGAATAGTACAACTCTTGAATTCTTACTTAAGCCCAATACATTGAGTTGAGGTCTAACCTAAAACTTTATGTAGATTTCAACCAACCCTCATGTTGACCTTAGGTCTAATTTTAATCATAATTAAGTGTCTAAACAATTAATTAACCTTAATAAATCTCAATCATACATGATTCCTTAATTAACAACTGAAATTCACAAAAATTCTAAATTAAATCCTCCATACACATATTCCTTTAATTAAGTCCTCAAACTCAATTAAATATTTAAATACTCTTATTTTTTCAATTAATTTTTAACTTAAAAATCAGGATGTCTCACAAAACTTGAAAGTTTTTAGGGTACTATTTATACATAATCTTTGATAATTTTTATAATTATACCAACCTACAAAAGTCAATGCAAGGGGAAAAAACTAAAAGTAGTTAAGCCTTCTAATTAATTCGATTCCCCATTTTAACGTATCCTTGGATCTGCTTTTGTAGCCATCATCGATGACGACAATTTAGAAAAAACTTACTCGCAGCGCAAGGGACTAGGTAATCATTATGACAAATTTTGCAATTCCAGTTAATAAATGTATACTCATATTAAGAGAATAATGATGAATTTATTTATTTCAAGATTTCTTTTTTTGACTGTTAAATGAATTAGCATCTTTCACAAGATTTTATGTTCTATACCTTTTTTTTTAAGTGGCAAGCCAGAGCTTGAAACAATTGCCAAAAATGTTTTTCCCCCTTTTATTTAGATTTAGATTTTGTTACCGGTGTCTAATCCATACTTCATGCTACATCATATACTTATCAACTGAGTTAACTGTCAACCATTTTTCAGTTATCAGAAATCTGATGACTCGTCATTTGATTCAGCACAAGAATGTGATGTAATATAACTTCCAAAATCATATAAAGAACATAATTCTCCCTAATTTTAGGATAGTAAAATCTTAATAGAGGTATAGTTTAAAAAATAATAATAAAAGAGGGAACTTAACTTGTCATCTGGCCAAAAAAATGTCAATATGTCAAATCAACTAGTAAGCTTCAATATAACCCCATTGAAGCTTTTTTGTCAAGCTTTTATCTGGCATGATCTTGAACACTCGCGATCATGTCGCATAAATGGAGGGGGATGAATCAAATAGACCAAAAAAACCAAATAGATAATACGTCCCGGATCTAGGGAAAAATCCGCCTGTGTGTGTGTGTGTGTGTGTGTGTGTGTGTGTTATATACCAATCCACAGCAACTAAGAGGAGCTCAACCGCTCGCCTGAGGCACCTTGAGGCTAACCAAAGAAACATGTTTAGCGTCATTGATTATCTCATACACTGCCTCCTCCTCACTGTCATTGATTATCTGATACACTGCCTCCTCCTCACTTTCGCTTTGCAGAGACCATTTGTTGGTGAGCCTTGATATCCCTTTCTATTCTGTCCGCATACAAGGGCAGGCGTATGATCTCATTCATCTCGTTCAAAACAACTTCTTCTGTGATGTTATCCTTTATGCTTCGCATTACCTGAATCCACGTTACAAAAATTCAGGGTTTTCCTCATCAATGAAATCATTATGTAATGTGAGATAAGCGTAAAAGATATTCCAGAGACATTGGTATGTAGAACCTTTCTATAGGTATTGATCTCATTCGGAGTTGATTTGTCAGTCCTTATCCGCATACAGACCCAATGATTCTCCTTGGGGTCCCAGTAGCATTCAATGATTTTCCCTGAATAGGAAGATGCATCCGATGCGTCTGAAATTGATTTACAAAACAAAAATAATATTAGCAGGAATGGTGATGGTAATTGAAGATAGCTTGAGGGCCTTCAAGCTTCAACCTTTTAAAAAAGCCCTATTCCCTTCCATCAACTTCTTCCTTCCACGTTCATGAAGAAAGAGCAGGTAACGACCACCTGCTCCCAACTGTGAACAGATATCAAATATTTGGGTGTTTAGGTTATAAATGGGACTGAATCAATCCCTAAACCAAAGCCACTAATACTACCTCAAAGAGGAAATCAACTGAGTTCATTTCAGGGTATTTCCACTTCAGAAGACCCTCATGTGTGCGGGGGACATAAGGATCATCCCAGCCCTGACAGAGTAAAACAACAATATTCACTAGCAAGTTGATACATCAGGCGCAATCTATGTATTCATTATTGGATTACTTATTACCGCCGTCAACATTAAACTAAGAACCACGAAAAGCTTTTGGACAGATCAGATTAGTTTCACCCGAGCATCACATCAGCAAACCACTGGTAAAGAACTGCCATTTTTTCTTATATCACCTAGCAATTATTTAATTTGTCCACCTTATCTAGGCAGGTTGCTCCATTTCACATGGCCAACCAGCTTTCTAGATAGCCAATTAGCCAAATTACCTGGAACACAAGACCATCTGACGGATGGGAGAGTTGCGGGATGAATTTATTGAGAAGCTTTGACACAGTGGACAGTAACCAAAAACCCTTCCTCCTCATCTGAAAAATGTATAAATAAATTATATATATGTAGGTAGATACCTAATCCTACCAGAACAAGAAATAAAAGTTCTACAGAATTGAACAGTAAGTATCACCAGACATACACTAAATGGCTCCAAGTCATATCGATAATAAGGATTTATACTCTTGCAAAGAGCCTCACGTTCCATGTTACGAGGTTCAATTACTTCTTTCTCTAGCAGTTTCCAACGTTCATAGAAAGGCAGCTGCATGTATTAAACCCAAACCAAAAAAAAAAATTGAACAGTCTATAAACAAAATGCATAGACATCACTGAAGATGTTTGCCAAGATACATCCATACAATATATATATATATATATTTAATTAAATAGCATAGAACTCCTATAAAGTTTGAACCATGTTCAAAACTTGAAAAATGAACCCCTCTAAGCAACTAAAATTATGCAAATAATCTCCATACTATCAGTTCATTATTCACAAACAGAAACATTATTCCACTGAAAAGAACATCCATCTCTATCATCCTAGTTACATAACTTCAGTCAAACTTAGAGCCCAGCAATTAGACTTGTCTAAAACCCAGCCAAAATGTTTGCTGACATTTAATTCTCTGTCAAAACCATAATAGATTTAACCCGTGCAATATGATATATTTTTGCTAACCATACAGGGACTCACAATAATTTCTACAACATGCTGTATAGGATCAGGCAACCAACAAGTCACAGAAAGGAATACGTACCTCAGTCACAGAAACTCGATTAATAGCCATCAGATCATAAATAAGGTATCTTCTCTCCTGCTTTTGTGTATGTGGATCCTTGTCAATTATCATCTCGCCATCAAGTAATGTATAGTGGTGATTCTTTTCAGGTGTGCCCTTGAATAGGTTGTGTTAAAAAAAAAAAGAACATTAGGAGACGCTGATTAAAAATCCAAAATAGAACTTGATAAGCAGCCATTAATTTCCCTATGTTAATCAAAATGAAACTTTTGAAAATAGTCACTTAGCAACAACTTTTGAATTAATTGGAAATGCATACCCCATTCAAATATCTGCAAGGAAACCGCATATGGACCTTTCGAAAATGAAACTTTCTGTCAATCAAATAACATCCATCACAGGTGATCAACATCATAAACCGTGTCCCATCAGCTTTCCATGTGGCATAGTAATACCGTTGTCTTAAGAGTTGTACATTGTCCCTGGAAAAGTGCAAAATATAAATTGCTATCTTAATTGACAAAACCAAAGCTAAAAATGGCCACCGAACTCGTGTTACTGTTACTCATTTCTAGAGAAAAAAATTTCAAATCTCAAAATTGAAAAGAATAGATCCCTTTTATGATAAGACAAAATATAAGTTATCCCAGAAAAAAATCCTCCCCATCAGCTTACTGGGAACAAAACTTGAACAGCAATTTCAATTTCTGCCAAAGATAGAAGCGAATGTCTTAATATTTGTAACCAATATTTTACATTTTCATACCCATATGGATTCATTCCCATTAACATGCTGAAAGTTCTACATAATATAAAAGTTCACATTTTTGTTGACTTCTTGACAAAAAAAAAAAATCCACCTTAATGTGATCCCGGGTTTATGTTGTTGTTTCTGTTGAAAGTTATAATAATTTTGAAGTCCTTGGGCTCCAGCAAGTTTACATTTGAAGAATTACAACTTTGTTAAGCGTAAAACTTCTCAATATTAGCATCAAAGTTCCTATCAGCTTATGATCTTGGATCCAACTGATCCTCCAGAAGTATTGATTACAGATTTTATTCCTCCTCTCATCAGGAGTCAATATTGGAGAATTAACACATTAAGTCCCCAAAATAAGATAGTGAGGAATTATAAATGTAACAAATATAATGCCAGAAGCCAGACAGACATTTCAATTAAGTACTTTTGCAAAAGATGACGACCAAAATTCATAATCACCACAAAATGCCCTGGTCCAATGAATAACTGAACACTTTACAAACAACAGCATACTGATGATTGAAAACAATCAGAACACGTACTCTTCATCTTTAGACTAGGAGAAATTATTAAAATCGACCTGATGACTATGTCTCTATATCTAGTTTAGTCCATCTTAAGTTGGGTAATATAAAATGTGGCTATATTGAACCTGTTGAGGGAAACAGGATGTGATCCTGGAAACTGCAAAGATCCCCTTCCCTAAAAATAGATTAGGAAAAAGAAATTATTTGAGAAAACTCATGTTAATCATAACAGAATAACAAAACTGGGTATTGAATGGAAACACGGAAGTAATTCATTGTATAAAATTGTGTGGGGGCAAAAAAATTACTTAGAACCATACAGTGCCAAATCTAATAATTATTTTAAAAATACTTTCAGGTATAATCAAGAAACAGAAAATGACAATGGAAAGAATGGCAAACGGACCAAAAGCTACAGGATTTGAAACACGACCAAAATCCTAAAAAGGCAATAAATCCAGTCATGACAATGTTTGATCTGATCACCCATTTCCAACTAATTATCATATTTTCTTCTTTTCAGTAAACGGGCAGAATGTTTTATTAAAAAGCAACTCCTTTGTATAAAAGAGCTTAAAGTTTACTTCAGTAAGATGTTATATGATGAAAACACTATTGACTATTTTTTGCCTTCCAGGTATGTTGATCAAAATCACATACAACGTTGGCGTCTGTTATGAGAAAAGTACAATAGTTATCTAAACAAGTTGAACAAGAAAGATCATAAAAAAACGAAAATAAGAAGTTAGAAGAACCATAAAACATAGAACATAAGCGTGACTTACATAGGTTCTTTATTCCTTAATAACATGGCAAAACCACCATTCCCACTTAATTCCCCAAAATATGCCAGATCATATTCATGAATCGAGAAGATAAACACACTTCACAAGGTGCTTCTGTTACCCACCCCTGTGCCCAACTTAAGCAGTTGGTAACACTCTAGTCGCATTGAATGCAGTTGATTTGAATGTACAGGATCTCCTAAAACATCATCGTTTGTCAATACTCCATTCCGCGTGATATTCTCCTATAATTTCAGGAAATTTTATGATCAATATAAACATATAGCTTTGATAGCAAAAGCAATAAATTAAGGTACTTCTCATAGAAAATGTGAGTTCCATGGCTAATAACAAGTGTGATTCTAAGAATTCAACCAACTATAATAACTAAGAACAAAAGTAATATGACAAAATAAGAAGAGTACAGATAATTCTATTATCATTCCATATCAGATACTCTCCAACACAATCACTACACACAACTTGCACCCTAAAGCAAATACAAATATGTGGATAATAATATACTTCAACGCAACCAGAAAAAATTCAAGTCAGTACCAATTAAGCAAATTATATCCCTGTGATGCTAGGAGAAGTCATGCCCACAATAAGGTGTAAACACATACATGCAAAGGAACACCACCAATATTTTCTACAGATTTGTCAACTGCGCGATGAAACTCAGGATCAGCAAGTCTCTTCCACTCTGGAGTTTGAGGACAAACAACTTCTTCAGGCTTCCTTTCATGATAATACATGTACAAAGCATCAATATAATCCTGCTTGTAAATTCCAGGGTCACGTGCTGCAGAAAATTTATTCATTGCCTGGAAAATAACAACACATGATGTCCAGAAAAAAATTATTTGGGGCAAGCAGCTATTGCAAATAAACTTACAAGGACCCAAGGTTTTGCTCACCTCAGTGACTGAAATTGATTCTGTGCGGACAAGAAAATGAACAATCATATAGCCAGTGCGATTGTGCCCATGGGTGCAATGCACGAATATATATTCATTTGTGTTTGTTCTTCGGGAGAGAAAACCCAGGACCTAAAAAACATGTGTAACAAATGTAAATTACAAAACCTCAAGCAAAGAATCGGCAAGAACAGGTAGCTTTTGTCATAGTCACAGGAATCAGTGCTTCAAAGTAGAATCCATGAATTGTACCGCTGCCAAAAATCAAAGCTATAAAAGAAAACTTGCCTCATTGCAAAATCTGTTTACAGATTCATCGTCGGGCACGGAATCCCTTCCTTTGCATCTTATCTATCATGCTCGTCAAGCAAGTCAGAACAGAAGAACAACTTCTAATTAACTTTTAAAAAACCAATAGTATGAAAGCTTTATCCCACCTTAACATGACGAATTCTTTCTCTGGTCCAATCTGATATTGGGTAGTAACGAGTAGTGTTTGTCAAATCAATCACTAGACCGATCTGAAAAATTGATAAAGTCAAGGAATGAGATGGAAAAATTAATGCCTAAGTCATTAAAATCAAAAGTATTCAGACATCTTATGCAAGGGAAAAGATGAGAAGAGTGATAGGTACTTCTAAATTACTAAAAATCATCATCTTAATCCTTCAATCTTTAACACAGCTACTTGGTAAGAGTTAGCATGCACATAAGCCCCACTGGGTTGCAAATTTTGCCCTTTCATTCAGTATTTATTTTTGTTTAATTCATTTTTCACTGCATAAGAAGAAGCTCAAACATTAAACACAGATATACCATCACTCTTTTGACTAACATGTCTTTTTCTCAAGTTAAGAAACGGGTACCACCATGATTTTGGCATACTTACTTGTCTACCTAAATGTCTTTGTTGAAGAATTGCCTGCTTGGGAGAATATTTTTGACTTGTAATGATATCATCAAAGGATTCACCAAGCGGAACCTTCGAAGGGATAATGCATCCTATTTCTTGACCATACGCTGGGCAGCCCAACCAACCTGAAAAATTCAAATTGAGATACCAAAGGGCAGCATAATTATAGTCCTATTACTAAAAGTTTGAAGAGAAACCAAAAAAAAATGGAAAAGGAAAAGAAAAGGCAAATATTTCACTTCAGTGCCATATGTCATGACAATACTTTTTTTTTTTTTTAATCAACAACAACAACAATAAAGTTTATGCATGTTAAAGGTACCAACCAGGAGGAAGCAAATTTTTGTTATAAGATCCATGCTCCTGCAACCGGTCCACATGTGGGAACTTTCTTTTTAAATCTCTGCGCGTGTCTTCATTATTCTAGCGTATAAATAAGTCATGATAAGTAACAAAGCACAAAAATTTGTCTTGGCAAGAGATAACAATTTCTCAGTATTAGGGAAAAGCAATTGCCAAGAAAGGGGAAGAAAACAAGAGCAATATTTATGTTTCCAAGCATTTCTATTTGAAAGTTGCGCATCAAAGCATAATGGAGTCAATTGACACTTGTGCAGACAATCTTTTACCCTAAACTAAAATAAAAAAAGTTCAATACATTTATAGACAAGATAGAATGGTTTAAGATGGAAAGAGCAGTCTCTAAAATCTAAAGTTGCTCATGAGGAAAAAGCCACTCTAGCAGACATCAGACCTAGCTCGTGTTCAACCAATGACAAGTGTACAAAAGAAAGATATCAGCAAAGCTTCAGTAACTGTAAGACTAGCGAATTTTTCATGCGCTACTAAAAATGGTATGTCGTCCGCTAATTTTAAAAATATTGAATCTCTCAATAAGGATCAAAAGAAGTCACCCAAAAAAATGACAACGTTTCCCAGTAAATTAACTTAATTTCTTTCCCTTGATGAAACTCTTTTCGTCAACATGGATTGAAGCAGCAACCGAAAACATGAATGACATCTAAAAGACTAAGTTTATGCTCTCCTAAACGAGGTGTTCACCATGTCACAAGTCTCACTACAGCTTCTGATTGAAACACGGGATAAAGTGGAGTGACAGAGAATTCGATTAGGGGTTTAGGTTAAGGGACCGACGCGAGAAAAACCAAATGAAGACTACAGAGCATCGACGCAGTGCAATCGTTATAAGATCTGGCGCTCCGCAATCGTGACAACCGACTTTGCTTGACCCTGTTCCTTTCATTTTTCTTTCTTCTTTTTTTGACCAAAAAAAATAAATGAATAAAAAGGCTTCTCTTTCGCCACAGTCCTGATAAAGCGGTGCGTTTCTTCTGGCCCTCGACCAAGGGACTAGGCGGACGTTAAACGCAGTCGTTTCATTCCCCGCAGCTAAGGAACTATCGACAGACCTTTTACAGTGCCAAAGCTCCAGGCATAAACGGAGATTGGGTCCATATTCTAACAGCTTAACCATCCATTAACATTGCTTGTGAATTTCTCACCAGCTTAACGATTTACATTGTATCATGACTTCGGCAGAAATCTCAGCCTCGCTGTTACTGATATGGTCATGTACACTCCGCGGTTCAGCCACCGATAAGGTCTCCGTCAGACGCGCGGCCCGCGTCTTTGCCGTTCATTTTTTTCTTGAAGATTTTCATTAGGAAAAATGACAAAGAAGTCAGTGTCAAACTTTAATAATTTATAAATTATAATATAATTTTATTATAATAAATTTATAATTTATGGTTTCTTAATTATATTAAAATTTAAAACATAAATTAAAAATTTATTATAATAAAATTATAAAATAAAAATTTGCAAATTCCAAGTTAGCATTAGGACCTATTTGAATTAATTGTACATGTCGTTCTCTCCTTACATTGTCCATGTAATAAATAAAATTAAAAATCGGAAGAGTTTCGAGAAGGAAGCAGGAATGGGGAAGAGAGAAGGGAGTGCAGCGAAGCAAGCGCTGGTGGTGGTGGGAGGCCTAGCCTTCGTGTGGCTGGCCATAGAGATTGCTCTCAAGCCCTTCCTTCAACAGACCCGCGCTGCAATTGATAAGTCCGACCCGAATCGCGACCCCGACGACGACGCCTCTCACCCCGCCGCAGACGACGCCTCTACCCCCGCAGCAGACGACGCCTCTCCCCCTGCAGCAGACGCCGCCTCTACCCCAGCAGCAGACGCCGCCTCTACCGCAGCCGCAGACACCGCCTGATTCTTATGCTTTCAGGCGTTATTCCCGGTCTGCCTTCTCTGTTGATACTACAATTATCGTTTTTTTTTTTTTAATGCTCTGGTATGTTCGCCCTGTTTTCTCTCCGCTGGAAGTTCACGAGTCTGAACTCAAATGGATGAACCTCGTAGCTTAATTCCTTGGCTCTCTTCTGCAAACCCTTGTTCGTATATAAATTTTCTTTTCATGTAATAATACATCATTTGAGAACCGATGGCTCATCAAAATTAGGAATCAACTTTTCTGCTTCGGCTTCCGGTCGTGAATAACAGTACAGTTTGGCGAATTCATTTGACATAGCCACTGGTACTTATAAGAAAATCAGGGCATGATCATTTTTCTTTTTCTTTTCTAAAAAACACGGCTATGGAATTAATCTATGCAGAAACTAAAAATAACTGGGGTGTTGGCTCTCACCACGAATAGCTACCAAAATTTTGATACACCTCTAAGGAAGGTTATCGATATCATTGTAATAGGCCTATTGAATCATCCGACCTGCATTGTTGTTTTCAACCCTAGCAGGGGGTAGTTAAATGCACTATAATGAGTTGGGAAGAGCTCTTAATTTAAAGGGGGCACCAAAATCTCTGCTATCCATCACAGGCATACAATATAAGGACGCCTCATTAAAAAATGGACAAAGGCATACTAGGCACTAAATCAAATTAAGACGGCATTGCTTAATAACTGCCATCATCTTCATCATTATTCATAATTTGTTGATAATATGATTGCTTTTTTTAGGTGGTGGTGATGATGATGTGATTGAGTGTTTTTTTTTTTTTGGATACAGATGTGATTGAGTGTTTTAATTATACGCAATGTATGAAACTCATGTCTAACTTTTTTTTTCTGTCCAAAAAAAGTCTATTATTGCTGTTGTTGTTGTTCAGCCTTTATTGGTTTTTTTTAGTCTTTTTTTTTTTCTAATATAAGGCTACAAGAAAACCATGCAAAAAAGATTAATGTCTGGTCATGTCAAAAGCCATAAGGCTTCTACATTAGGGGTAGATTGTCAAAAATAAGAATATTGAAATCCTCGTTAGATGTTGTGTAGAATAGAAAATCAATACAATTATTTGTTTCTTTGTAGACATGATCAAAAATAACTATCTAGTCTTTCATAATTAGGTCTTTGATGCTTTTGATAATTGTAGAGAAGGGATGCAAATTGCAATAGTTGTTATCTATGAGCGATAACACCTTCATGAAATCAAAGTAGACGTTAATTCTTGAAAGATTTTCATTCCAGCAAAGGTTGAGGCTATTTAAGATTCTTAGGAGCCCAGTTGTTGTGCTAGAGTAGTAGCCAAGATAGTTGAAAAATTCTTTAATTCAATTTTCCTTATCATCTCTGATGATACCTCTACAAGCGACAGCACCGTTAATATTATTTGAACCATCAATGTTGAGTCCAACACAGCTAAGTTCAAGAGGATTTCATTTAGTTTCATATTTATCATCATAATTGTTCAGTTGGTTAATCTTGGATCGAAGCTTAAGGTCGTTCGTTATCTGTTGTGTGCAGAAGAAGGCAATTTCACTTTTTTTTTTTGTCTCTAAACCATAATATATTAAAATCCAACCCAAATTAGCCAATTAAACCCTGAAATTATGGACCAGTCTCTTATATCATCATATCAAGAGTTTTGGAAGGTTTGATTTAGTTATATTTTATATTTTATCTTTCCTTATTGGGCTTAAAACAACATCATTTTTTAATTAAAAAATTAGCTATTTGACATATTTGTACTTTAATAATTTTGTTTGTTATGAAAATAGAGGTTGGGAAGAGGAAAGAAAAGAGAAAATTATAATTAAGAAAATTAAAAGTTTTTTGATTTTAGTGGGTATAATATAATTTAGGTGCCTTCTATATATAGGTACAAATATATCAATTAAATTAAATAAAATATATAAGATAATAATAACTAAAAGATATTAAGATAACCAAAAAAATTAGAAAATATGAGATAATGGACATTTACATAATATCTTAATATTCATAACACTCTTTCTTAGATGTCCAGATATCATATCTCATTAAAACTTAACTAAGAAAAACCTATGGGAAAAAACTGAGTGAAAGAAAAAGAGTACATAATATTTTCATATTTATTAAAGTTGCCTTATTAAAAACATCATTAGGAAAACCTAATAGAACAAAATATTGGTCAAGGAAAAAAGAGTACATTACAACTTTTAATCCTCCTGATGATGATATATCTAACTATTCTTGAGTCTTCTTAAGTCTATGCCATGAACTTACACATTGATTTGAAACATTGTTGTTGCTGACGCCTTTGCAAGTTAATATTCTCTTATTGTTAGACCATATATGAATCATTGATTTCATAAAATATTTTAAAACATATTCTCTATATGCATCTTTTGGACATAGACATATTTTTCACTTATCGTATATTCTTCTATGGGAGTAGCAAAATAATATTGAAATAATATTGATATACATGTATTTTTCATAAATAAATTACCTCTTAGAGGTTAACTCTCATGGTTCAAACTAAACATGTACAACACATGCATAATTAATTAATTTTGATTCTAAATGAGTTTAGTAAAATAATCATGAATAATTTCTTAGATAGATCATATCAACTACATAATTTCATTGTAAATCAATGCAAAACCATAAATTATGATATAAAAGCATTCATATGTGGTGTTTTAAGATCATATTTCATTATTCTCTTTAAGAAAAATGATATTGATTCACATCCAATCACTCAATATCTCAACGTCCCTCAATATCTCAACGTCTCTTATCAACAATCAAATGTTTATTTAAACTCTTTAAAATATTCAGTAATGCTAAATTAATCAATTTTGATGCAAATTAATATGTATATAATCATGTGAATAGATATAATAATAAAGAAGATTTCTCAATAATCTTCATAAGCTTTTATTATCTTGAATTCTTCTAAAATTTTCAGGTAGGTGTTACTATATAAGAAGCCATATAGATAAGCTGCATTCATTAGACTAATATTAGATTTCAATACCACTAGGCTAATAACATGTAAAACAAAAAAATCATTTCATCCACTACAAAATAATATGCCAATGCATATCTTAAATCTTTATAAGATATTATTATATTAAAAGTCAAGCTTTACATGTAACATTTTATATTTCTCCTTCTCATAAATAATCAAGTATAATATCATTCTTTAATTGCTTAAACTATAAGTTCACAGCTTTGAAATCATAAATAAGTAAATATAATTCTACTTGTATTGCATCCTCTTTTCTAATTTAATTAGCTTTCTATCCACATTCTATTAAGATCTTCATTTAATTGTAATATTTCATTCTCATTGAAAGTTCTGTCAACAACTTTATTCTCTTTGATTTCTTCATTTTTCATATTGACATAACTTCTCAAGATTTCTTTATTGCTATTAAGTACCTAATTCTCTTCTAGAAAATTTAAAGTCAGTTATGTTTTAGCCTCTTTTAGAATGCTAACTTCCTTAATATGATCATTTTGATCATATGCTTTTGTTTTCTCTTTCTCTAGGATTTTTTTTCTTTAGAACCAATTTGCCTTTTATGCTTTAGGCGTGATTAAGTTTTTTTTTTTCTATGTATCCCAGAGCAATGTCAACTAAAACATGAATTTAATAACTTTCATTTTGTCAATATTTACTTCTAATAGTTATTTTCTAATATTTCATGAATACAATGTTTTATGAACTTTTGGTTCAGCTATATAGATGAGGATCTATATAATATATAGAGAATGTATTTTATTTAATTTTTCATTTACAGCTCTTCATTATCTCTCTTTCATTTTGGGATGACAAACCATGAGATATAAGCCTTCTAGATCTATTTGTTTCTTATATAAACAACATTTTGTTTCATTTAGAAATAAATAAGAAGTATCTTATCTAACATCTAGTCCCAACTTTATTTGAATATCTTTTGAGCTATGGTGAGGTTTGCACAATTAACATCTTTGGCTCTTATTAGACAACCAATTTTAGGGACTATTCACGATACTTGATTGACTTTATGCATATAAGTGCTGTAACATGCATACTTGCATTTTTTATAAAAAATACTGTATTTCAAATACTGGCCTAATCATTTTATTGGAAGCATCAATAATATTTACTATACCATTCTAATAAATAGGCATTTTTGATATCAAATCCATTAAAGTCTGAGATATGAAATCACTAACATTTTTAAGTGAATTATCTCAATCACTAAGATAAAAATTATGCACATAACATAATTTTCCTCACAAATTTCATTTTGTGGATTGATTAATATATACACATGTGACCATCTTATAAATGTATATGTTAATTTCATTATATTTTTGCATGGTTTACATGGTGCCTAAATGAGCTCATAGCAACTTAATATATTTTGCAAATGGCTGGGATCCAATCCCAATCATAGTTAGTGATAATCTCATAATTTTCTTTAAACAGCATTTAAAAATTATTTAAATATATGGCACATTACTAGTTAGGAAGGATATCCTGGTTCTTTAATAAATATTATTGTGGATTATCAATAATACTTTGCATCAATACAAATCCAGGATAATCTAACTGGTCATGCTAAATAATATCAGTGTACTTCAAATATACTATACAAAGTTAATAGCATCACAAATAAATTTTGTTTTATGAGTATGAAATTTTTTTGAAGGACTCTATCAATTTTGTCCTTCCCATACAAAAATTACATCACTTGCTTTTTAATGAGTGATTTTTTAATCCTCACCTTTAAATATTATTTAAAGAGAATTTTTTTTCATTGTATGGTTTTAATTTAATAATAAAAATGATACAAATTTTCAAAAAAAAATTTCTTGAACTAAATCATAAACTAATTTTAAAATTCTTGCTATTATTTTCTAGCCTTTAGAGTAATGATAGTCAAAATAAAAACATAATTATTACTCCCTTCATTAAAAAATATAAGATATTTTTAATTAAATTTTATCCCAATAAAGTAGTTACCTACTTTCAAAATAATTATATCTTTTCATATTTAAATATATTAAATACCTTATAATAAATATAAAGTCATTCATTAATAAGGATACTTTTGAAAAAAAGGCAATGATTACATATCAAAAGACTAAAAATGCCTTACATTTTTTAAAATCTCACTTCTTAAAAAATACCTTATATTTTTAAATGAAAGCAATATATTATTCATTCTAAGTGAATTAAAATTTATTGTATGTCATCAAAATTATAAGAAAAAAATAACCAATCACCTATGTGGACAAATAATT